GTGGAGTGTGGCTTTATTCTGAGCCCTCTGTCGCTTCTTTCCAATCCATTCTCAGCTCTTCATTTGACAGATGAGCAGCCAGTGCCAGGGAGGAAGGTAGAGATGATCTCAAAAGATGGGTAAGACAAGGTAGCCTCTGGATCCCAAAGTGCCTTTGCCCTGAGCTGTGCCTGGACTGCGTTGTCTTCAATGAGATGGAGTCGCATCCCTTTTTGAGACATGAGCACGGTCCCCACTGTGTCCATCAGAACTCTCTGTGATGGGCGTGTTCTCTACTTGTGTACCGCTTTGACAGCCACTGATCTTATGCGGCTCTCGAGCACTGGAAATGTGGCCGCTGCAACTGAGGAATGGAACTTTAAATTTTCATTAATTAGAAAGCAGCTTTGTTGATATATAATTTACTTATTCTGTTGCATACTTCTTTTTTTAAAAGACAGGGAGAGAGGCACAGATGAGGAACTAAACACTGTTGATGTCATTTCTCTCTCCCTTTCTCTCTTTTTAAAAAGATTTATTTATTTACTTACTTACTTACTTATTTATTTATTTGAAAGGCAGAGTTACAGAGAGGCAAAAGCAGAGAGGGAAAGAGAGGTCTTCCATCTGCTGGTTCATTCCCCATATGACTGCAACTGCCAGAGCTGGGCCAATCCGAAGCCAGAAGCCAGGAGCTTCTTCCGGGTCTCCCACATGGGTGCAGGGGCCCAAGGAGTTGGGCCATCTTCCACTGCTTTCCCAGGCCATAGCAGAGAACTGGATAGGAAGTGGAGCAGCTGGGACTCGAACCAGTGCCCATATGGGATGCTGGCACTGCAAGCAGTGGCTTTACCCACTACACCACAGGGCTGGCCCCTCTGTTGTATACTTCTAAAGCAATTTTTAGTATATTCACAAGATTGTGCAAGTTATCACCATTAGCCAACTCCAGACCATTCTCATCGCCCCAAAAAGAAACTGCAGATCCATCAGCAGACCTTCTACTTCCCGCAGCCCCTGACAGTCACTGATCTCCTTTCCGGCTGTGTGTGGATTTGCCTGTTACAAGACATGCCACAGAAGTGGAAGCTGCAATTTTCTTGGCTTTTCTCTCCCTTTAGTGTAACGTGTCCAGGGCTCATCTGCCATTCCTGGACAAGTTGGGTAATAGTCCCTTGTCCGGGTGTATCACGTTTGGTTGATCAGCTGACAGACAGACACTTGTGCTGTTTCCACTTAATTAAAATTGAAGTAGCCACATGTGGCTCCTGGCCACTGCATCAGGCAGCCCAAAAGGCCAGAGCACACAGGGCTGGGCTTGCTGAGTGACTGCTCAGGTGTGTTCACCCCTCATTCCATCCCAGAGCAGTGGAAGGAGGCCAGGACACCCAGGACCTCTGTTCTGGCAGCACTGGGAGGGGTCATCCTCCCTGCCACCCCGGAGCTGGGCCCTCTCAGGGAGGCAGGGCCCCCGATGCAGGCGAGAGGGGGCCTGAGGGGGAGGCTCAGAGTCCAGCTTTCCCAGCTGCATTTACCAGGGAGCAGGCAGTGCAGAGGCACTGCCTCCCTCTCCTGGTCTCAGGTCAACAGCATCAGGATCCGTCCTCCCGCAGATCCAGGACGGCGATCACACAAGGTGGTGAACACCGAAGATCGCAGCAACACATTTATCCCTGGCCACATCAAGCTGCATTTGTGTTTCTACACGTCGCTGGTGGACAACAGTCAGGGGCAGCAGGCAGGCCCAGGTTAACCTCACTGTCGTGGGTGAGTAGGGGGACCGGAATGGGGGCCGTGGGGGTTGGGGGTGCAGGGCAGTGAGTCTCAGGAAATACACGGGTTGCTCAGGTAGGAGACGGGAGCCTCAACTGGAATACGGGCGCCTCAGTTGGGATGCGTGAGCCTCGGGCGGGCTATGTGAGCCTCGCGGCCTCATCACCGTCAGTGCCTTTCTCTCTGCACGCCACCTTCCATCCTCCCAACCTCTCACTCCTCCATGCCTGCACTCTCCCTGCCCTTCCAAGCTCTGGCCCCTGCGCCGCCCCTCCCCATGCACACACACACACTTTGCTCTCTCTGGGAGTTCCCTCCGGGCTCTCTTTCTGGACTGCATTGGAGACTGTGGGCTCTGCCGCTCTAGGGGCCTCTCCTGCTGGCACTTTAACTCCTCCGATCTGCCTACCCCCAGCCGCTCTGATGTACCCCTTTGCAAAATCCTCGCCTTTTCACTTCACTGCTCCTGTGCCCGATCCCGGGGATGCCGCAGAAAGAAGACCCCATCAACCCACAGACTCACAGCCAGGCGCCGCTGAGCACCAGGCTCGGCTGAGCCGCCAGTGCTGGTCAGAAATCCCGTCCTCGTGTCTGGAGGATGCTATTCCTTGCGGTCTCCCACCCTGCAGCCGTGGCCTCCAGCTTCCCTGAGAAACAAGGCATCAAGCACCCACTTGCTCAACCACGTGGCTGCACGCCTCCAGGGTCCATGTCTGTCCCCGGCCTGATTTCCTCCTGCAGGCTCTGCCAGTGGTCCCCTTTTGTCCCTCCAGGGTCTGCTGCCTTCTCCTCTGCCTTCTCTCTGGATCTCAGCTTGGGGAGCCCACCATCCACTTTCCCTCCTCGTGTCCACCTCTTCTCTGCCGGCTCCCCCCACCCCGTCCCCCCCATGTTGCCCTCACAGCTGCTGCGCAGGCTTGTGCACCTCCTGCAGTGCTTTTCCTTGCTCCAGCCCCTCTCTGGCCACGCCCTCTGACAAGGGAGTCTCTCTACTCCCAGGGTGCACCTTCAGCTGCCTGCAGCCTGGCTCCCACCCCTGTTAGTCTGCCGGGACCACACCACCTCCTAATCCTGTCTCCTTCTCTGCCGGCCATGCCTGACTGATCCTCCAGTCCACTTTGTCCTCTTTCCTGATCACTGTCTGCGTGCTCCGCTGCACTCTCTCCAGAAGCACCGCAGTAACCTGCCAGCTGACCTCCTGCTGCCGGCACACTCAGCCCCGGCAGCTCCCTGTGTGGCAGGTGCAGGGGCCAGCAGAGGCACAACCAGCCCAAGGAGCAGGCAGATGTGTGTCGTGCGTGTCTGGGCCTCCACCTGTGGTGCCCAGGGAAGCCTTCGTCCTGGTGTTTATTGACACATGCCCAAGACTGTGTGGGTTTTCGGTTGTTAGTGGCTTTCAAGCTTGTAGGGCACCTTTGTGAACGTTGGGAAAAAGGGTCCCTCTGGGCAGAGTGAGTAGGAGATGCTGTGCCCCCACCCTCATAGTAGGGCTCATTCCTGGCCTTGGGGAGCGGAAGCTGCTCAGACCCCTCTGCTGGGCTCCCCGTGCAGCCCACAAAGCTCTCACCTGGCCGTGCTGCCTGCCTGCACACTTTCCCTGGGGTGTTCCTGGTGTGCACCCACGCGTGGGCACACAGGCCAAAGGATCTGTTAGCAGTGGGACTCGTGTGGCCCTGGGGGCCCGAAATCCTCCCCGGCGTCCGTCCCCAGTTAAAGGCTGAGAAGGTGGCTCTTGGGGTCTCTTGCGGCTCTGACGTCCCAGCCTGCTGCAGGGATCCCCTGACTTTGTGTCCAGGAAATCTCCCTGCTCCATCTGCACGTCTTTCCTTCACCTTGAGACTTTCCAGCTCTGCACATGGAGCAGACAAAGCCCGCACACGGGGGCCCGGTGGGCACTAGCTTTTGCACATGCGCTCGCGTGCTCGCTCGCTCGCTCTCTCTGTCTCTCTCCCCCCCACCAAGCCCCTGGCCTCCACATCCTCTCCTGGAAAGGGCACAGGAGGCCCCAGAAGATGCAGGAGTCCTCAGATTGGAGAAGTCACCTTAAGGACAGCATGCAGGCCCCTTCTTTCTCTTTTTTTAAAGATTTATTTATTTATTTGAAAGGCAGAGTTAGAGAGCCAGAGCCAGAAAGAAAGAGATCTTCCATCCACTGTTTCACTCCCCAGACGCCACAATGGCCAAAGCTGTACCATTCCAAAGCCAGGAGCCACAAGCTCCTTCCAGGTCTCTCCCATGCGGGTGCAGGGGCCCAAGGACTTGGGCCATCTTCTACTGCTTTCCCAGGCCATAGCAGAGAGCTGGATTGGAATTGGAACAGCCAGGTCTCCAACCAAACCGGCGGCCACATGGCCCCTTCTTTCTCACACCCAGCTAAGCCTCAGGGGGGAAAGGAGCCCTTGCCCCCACCCCGGGGTGGGGGAGGGGGAAGAGAGGAGAACAAGGAACAGTGCAAAGCAGAGGTGAGGTGCCCCGAGAGCCGTGCCCAAGCCAGCGCGTAGCAGCGCAGGGTTGCAGGCTGTGGCCCCACGCCCTGCACAAGTGCTGCAGCAGCCCCGGAGCTGCCGCTGCTTCTCTTTCACCCCGCCCCTCCTGCTCTCCTGTTTCCTCACCCTGTGAAAGAGACTGGCTGGATTTCTGTGTCCCTCATTCTGTCCCCTGCCTCTGTTTCCTGTGCCCTGGGGTTTCCCATCTGGGCAGGATGGGCTTTCATCCTCTGGCGGGAAGCGGGACCTCCTCACGCTCCTCCACTCTGTGGGGAATCCAGGTGCTTATTTCACCAACTCCCCCCAACCTGGCAGTCGGGACCCTCGGGAGTCTGGTGCCAGTGGCCGCATTTGCCTGGGCACTTGGACCCAACCCCGCAGTGCTGACCTGGCCGGCACCCCCTCCACCGCTTCTCCTCGGTGTTCCCCCTGCCTGGGGGGACCCTGGGGTCAGCTCCTCTGAACGGCCTTTTTGGCCCCAGTGCCCCCCAGCCCCCACTCCGGCTTCCCACCCGGTGCCACACGCGCCCTTCCCCCGCCGCTGCACGGGCTGCAGATCTGGCCTTTTATGGTTGAGTTTTTCTCCATGGCCGGCACTGACAGGGCCATTGGCGTGGCTGTCCGCCAGCTGGCAGGAGCAGCGCGTTAAATGCCGTCCTGGGAGGGGAATGGAATGGAGGAGAACCGGGCTCTCTGTCTGCCTCCCCCTCAGGGAGCTAAGAATAGAATTGCTCAATAAAACCCCTCCTCGCTCAGATGGGTCCCGCAGAGCCGCCCTCCCTCAAAGCCCGGGAACTTCGAGTTAGCTCAGAGTGAACCTGGATTAAGCGGCCGCACCTGCGCGGCCACGGGACGTCTGCGTATTGTCTGATCAGAGCTTGTTAAGTAAGCACACACAGCACGAATGGCAGGAAGGGTGTGGCCTGCTCCCCAGTTTTCTGGCACCTTAGAAGCGTCCTTTGGCCAGCGGGCTGAGACAGGCGAGTCACGGCGTGTCCACTGGTCAGCAGACTCTCGGCATGCGTTCTGTCCAGGACCCTTCCTGACAGTCCCCAGCTCCTGTCTCCAAGATGATAATAAAGCCAGCCTTGCCCCAGCTAGTTTAGTGAGTGATGTTTGGCCGTCTTAGAGGATTAGTATCAGTATATGCTGAAAGGCAGCCCAGGAATTTGCGATGCTTGGAGCCTCGGCCTGTGCCTGCGCTTACCCAGCACCCCTGTCTGCTGCCTGAAGGAGGGGAAGGGCTGCCCTCGGGGGAGGCAGATAATTGCAGCCTCCGGGGCCAGATTCCTTAAAGCCACTCACCCAGTGCAGGGAATACAGGTCTCTGGGCATCGCTTGAAAGGAGGGAAATGAGGTCCAGAGAACCCGCGGTACCCAGTCATTCCCTAATACTTGTACTCCCTGAGTTTGGAACTTCTGTGGGAAGTTTTGTTTTTTGTTTATTTGGAGGCAGAGTTACAGTAGGAAGAGAGGGAAAGGGAGAGAGAGAGAATCTCCCATCTGCTGGCTCACTCCCCAGATGGCTGAAACAGCCATAACTGGGCCAGACCAAAGCCAAGAGCCTGGAACTCCATGCAGATCTCCCTCGTGGCTGCAGGGGCCCAAGCACTTGGGCCATCACCCACTGCTTTCCCAGGCATATTAATGTGGAGCTGAATCAGAAGGGGAGCAGCCGGGACTTGAACCAGCGTCCACGTGGGTCGCTGCTGTTGCAGGTGGTAGCTTTACCCGCTGTACCACACTAGCCCCTCACATGACTTTTGAGGGCACAAGAGTTCCATTCCCAATTCTTCACCCAGGCTTAAGCAAGATGTGCTCTTGAGCTCACCTTACTGATAGTTTGGAAAGCACCAAGCCTTGGAGCAGGAGTCTGGGGACTTTGTGGAGTCCCCTGTGGGCTGTGCCACTGACCAGCTGAGTGTCCTTGGTAAGCGCAGTACCCTGACCTGCAAGGGCGCCCAGCTGCAGGGCCAGGGAGAGGTCATCTGGTTGGGGACAGACACAACGACACATGTCCTTAATGTGTGGGCACAAGCAGAGCTAGAGGGCCCTGGCTTTAGCTGAGAGCTCTAGAGACCAGATCCTGTTTTCCCAGTAGGGAGAGCATTTGCTGAGCAGAAAACCCTTGAGCTGCTGCCAAGAGAGACCCTTCCCAGTCTGTTGGCCGGGTCTCCAGGGAGCCCTGGGAGAATTCTACGGAAGCAAGGAACCCATGGCCCCAGATACCCAGCCAGCTTCTCCCATGCCAGGCAATGCTCAGGGCCTCCCTCTCAGATGGAATGTGTCGTGTCTTTAGCATGGGAGAGAAGCTCCTGGCAAACTCCTGGCCTCAGATTTTCGTCCCTGTCTGGTGCAGCCTCTATGTGGGGCTCTGTGGGTTGGGAAGAATGGAGCATGGGACAGACCTGGGGGAAGCGGGTGGGGCTGCAATCTGGCGTCAGTGTAGACTTGGTCTTTTTTTTTTAAGATTTATTAATTTATTTGAAAGGCAGAGTTACAGAGAGGCAGAGGTAGAGAGAGGTCTTCCATCCGCTGGTTCACTCCCCATAAGACCTCAATGGCCATAGCTATGTTGATCTGAAGCCAGGAGCCAAGCACTCCTTCCGGGTCTCCTTTTGGGCCATCTTCCACTGCTTTCCCAGGCCATAGCAGAGAGCTGGATAGGAAGTAGAGCAGCCGGGACTCGAACCCGTGCCCACATGGGATGCCAGCACTGCAGGCGGCAGCTTTACCCACTACGCCACAGTGCTGGTCCCAACTTGAGTCTTTTCAGAACTCCTTCATTAGCATCAGAGCCCTTGAAAGTCTTGACGTTTCCCTGCAATTAAGGTCCCCCTCCCCAATTTTGCTCCCAGTCTTGTGTCTTAGGCCACAGGAAGTGATGTGTGCTGCATATCTCTCTCTCTCTCTCTCTCTCTCTCTCTCTCCCTCTCTCCTCTCCCCTCTCTCCTCTCTCTCTCCTCTCCCCTCTCTCCTCTCTCTCTCCTCTCCCCTCTCTCCTCTCGCTCTCCTCTCCCCTCTCTCCTCTCTCTCCTCTCCCCTCCTCTCTCTCTCCTCTCCCCTCTCTCCTCTCTCTCTCTCCTCTCTCCTCTCTTTTCTCTCTCTCCTCTTTCCTCTCTCCTCTTTCCTCTCTCTCCTCTCTCTTTCCTCTCTCTCCTCTCTCTCTCCTCTCTCCACTAAGAGCCGTCTGTAACAAGCAACAAGCAGCACCTCTTCTTCAGTACCCATTTCTCAGCTTTCCTTTCTTGGCCAAAGCAGAGGGCAGAGAGCGAGCCTGTAACGTGCACCTGCACTCACTGTATGAACATCCGTGACCCTGCACGTGTGCAGGCCCGTGGTTGCAGTGAGCCTCTGCGGGCTTTTTCCACTTCCTTAGCTGGTCTTGAGAAGACACAAAGCACTTGCCTCTAAGAGAGCAATAAACATCTTAGCCAACACCAGAAATGTTTCTAAAAAGACCAATATATCTTTCAGAGCAAACAGCTTTCCTAAGAGAACACATTAAACAGCCAGTGAAAGTGGTTCCATTACAAGAGGCCCCGGCATGACTGCAGACACTGCAAGTGGCTCTGTCACCGTCCCAGGCTTGTTCCCAGGATAAGGTCCAGGCTTGGGTTGTTGGGGATGGACGGCTTCCAGCAGTGCATCCTGGGCTGCTGGGCAGAGGACGCAGGACTGGGGGAGGGGAGAGAGTGAATAGGTAAATCTGTGTCTACACACATGTGTACTTGCCCACACACACACAGAACACAGGTCACAGCCTCAGGCCTGCAGGACACACATGCGCACGCACACACACACAGGCTGACCTCTGTCTCAAAACATATGTTTGATGGGAAACAGTGCACGCTTCTGGGCAGCTTCCTAGATCTGCTTACTCTTGAGATGTGTGTTTATGACTTGGGCGCAGCACAGGAAATGTTCACTTGCAGACTGAAACTGGGCCCTAAAATGTTTTTAGTTCTCAAGTGGATAGGTATAGGTGGGGCTTTCTCTACAGGTGGGCCTGTGCAGGCCCATGCTCATGACTGTGGATGAGGGAAATAGAGCCAGGAGCCCCGGGGGTGTCTAGGCCCTTCCTCCTAGGACAGAGCTAACTCAAGCACGGTCTTTTTCCTGCCATTCGGGAAGATCTGGGTAACGTTGAGCTTCTCTGTCCCCAGATAAGCCAGACCCCCCCGCCGGCACGCCGTGCGCCTCTGACATCCGCAGCTCCTCGCTGACGCTGTCCTGGTACGGCTCCTCCTACGACGGGGGCAGCGCCGTGCAGTCCTACAGCGTGGAGATCTGGGACTCTGTGGACAAGATGTGGACGGAGCTGGCCACATGCCGCAGCACCTCGTTCAACGTGCGCGACCTGCTGCCGGACCGCGAATATAAATTCCGCGTGCGCGCAATCAACGTGTACGGCACCAGTGAGCCGAGCCAGGAGTCGGAGCTCACGACAGTGGGCGAGAAGCCCGAGGGTAGGCTGCCTGCGCTGCTACTCGGGCTCTGCATGAACCTGCGTGACTGCCCTGTGTGTGTAGCAACTGTGCAGAGAGGGCTACAGAGGCGCTGAGAAAACCTTGGTGATGACTATAGGGGTCACCTTGTGATGCTGATCCTTTGGTGAAACACTGAACCAGCAATTTGTGTGCACTGCCACCAGGGGGTGATGTTGTGTTACTCAGGAGCAACGTCCGTGAAGGCAGGCAGGCAGGCAGGCAGGTGGACTTCAAGTTCCTGTGTTCCTGCACTTATAGGATGGGGTCTCCAGAAAGTTCATGGAAAATGCATATTATTAAAAACTATGCACAAATTTCAAATTTTTTTGCAACAAAATAAACTTACCCCTCTAATTCCATTTTCCATGAATTTTTTTGGAAGTACTCTCATCTTTGAGTGTCTATTTGGTGTCGTATACCTAGAACAGAAAGATAAGGCCAGAAGATTGAAATCCAGCAGGACAGACCTGTACATGACTAAGCACAATGAGATGGGTGCATCCTGCCATGGTGGTATAAACAGGGAGCCATGGGACAAGGCAGAAAGCATGGAGAACTTTGCCATGGAGACTGGAGGGCTTCCTGGCAGAGGTGGCATTTAAACTGAGTCTTGGGAAAAGGGACTGGGGTTCTGGGAGGCAGGGGAGATAAGGAAAGGTAGTCCATGCATAGGGGTCCGCAGCAGCAAAGATGGGGAGTAATGGAAATGGCCGGCTTTGTGGGGAGCTTGTGTGTGCGGCCAGGTGGTATGGAGTGTGAGGGAGAACAGGAGGAAGTGAGATGAAATGGGCAGCTTGGGTGTAACTGCGGAGGTCTTCCAAGGCCTTCCAGGGAGAGGACAGACAGGATTCCATCTGTTCCGAGGGAAGGAGCAGGGCTGTGCTGCGCTGCTCCAGGCATGGCTGTGAGAAGCACAGATCCCCGCTCCCGACCCCCAGGGGCCCTCTGAGCCTTTAACCAGACTCCCGCCCCGGGGGCGTTCGTGCACAGGTGAAGTGGGCGTGCAGGAGGGATAAGGCTGGAGTCGCCTAGTCCAGGCAGGCCGCTGTGGCCACGGCCCCGCGGGCAGTGGGCAGGAGGTGGAATTGATCGTTCTCAGTGGGCTTTGGGGCAGAGTAGAGGCGGAAGCAGGAAACATACCGCTGACTCCCGGTTCCCAGCTTGGGTTCCCGAGTGCCAGTGCAGAAGCCCGAGAAAGGTTGATTTTTGTGACTTCACGGCCAGCGTGCGCTGAGCGCTCAGTATGTACTACGGGATGCTGACCACTTCGCTCGCCTGCTTGTTCTTGCCCCCATTTTGCATATAAGGGACATGAGGTTTAGGGGGGAAGCTACTTGCCCAAGGTCACAGAGCTTGAATTCAGAACCCCCTGGTCCAAAGCCTGTGCCCCCCACCACCACCAGTTAGATTGAGGGAAAGGTCAGGCTGCCTCCCAGGCCCCCGCCTTGAGTGCACTGGGGTTAGGTAGCGGGAGGCTGGGAGGAGGTGGCTGCAGGCCCATTGAGTTGAGGGGTCGCTGGGATGTCCGGGGTGGGGGCCCATCAGATGCTTGGGTCCGGAGCGCCGGAGAAAGGCTTCCCTTATGCCCCAGACCTGGGAGTCTTTGCTTTGTAACTGGCGGTTGAGGCTGTGAGCACGGACAGGCTCTCTGAGAGGGCTGCAGAGAAAGCCAACCCCTGGGCCGTCATGAGGGAGCTGCAGGACCAGAAGGCAGGACTGGGAGGGAGAGAACCACGAGGAGGCTGGACTCCCCTTGCAGGAGCCACGGCGGGCAGCTCAGGGACCTGTGTCACCTGTGAAGGGAAGGTGAAAGAGACAAGCACTCGCAAGGGGCTTTGGGTCCAGGCCTGTGGTGGTTGGTGGTCAGAGCAACCTCCACGGTTGCTTTGCGGAAGGAAGGAGTGCACGGAGAAGCCAGGAGGGTGGAACGTGGTTTCAGGACGTGTGGTGTGAAGAGCAGGAAGAGGGTGGGGGTGGGGAAGAAGGCCAGGGGCTCCGGGGTTAAGGAGAGGGGAGGGCTAACGGGGCGGTGGGAGACTCGGTGTCTGAGAGGAGACCACCCGCAGGTGCTGGGAGTGCGGGGCCATCCCTGCCCCTCACATGCACACACTTGAGGTGCAGAAGTCTGGCATGGAACAGGTGTTAGAACTTGTCCTCCAAGTTCAAGGAGGGCTGCAGACAAATTCGGGGGAACCACTGGAGAACACTACAACTTTGCAGACTCGTCTGAGCAGCTGTGTGCTGGGCAGACTTCACCCACTAAACCCTGGGAATGCACAGAGCAGGCACGGGGCCCCTGGAAGGCACAGCTGGGCCCCGGCTCCTGGGTTGGGCTGGGGCTTCTAGACGCTCTCATGGGCTCCCACCCACCAGCCCCTCACCAAAGGCTGCTGGAGATACTGAGGGACAATGATGCTTCCCCCACATACATACATGGTGTCTCTGAAATGAGCAGAGTGGGGGCAGGGAGGTTGAATGGGGTGCCAGGAGGGGCAGCCAAGCTCCAGCCTGTGTGTTTGGGGACTTCCCTCGGGACAGTGAAAGGACAGTAGGACAGTGCTGCAGTGAGCAGGTGGCCCTGGCCTGGAGAGGGGACCCTTCCAGGTACGTGCCAGGTGTAACCCGGGAGGACTGCAGAGTCCCTGATCCACTCCTGGTGCACAGTACACCGGAGGAGGCGCTGGGCCCTCTGTGACGACATCCACTCCCCTAGCACACCTCTCAAAGGAGCAGATAAAGACAACGTTGAAATCCTTGAGATCCGAAGAGGGTCCAGGCCACCCAGGGCTCCCAGACAGGAAGTGGCTCCTCATGCCCCGCCCAGCTGGATGGTCCAAGGTGGGCAGCAAGGGAGGGAGGGAACAGTGGTTGGCCAAGCCTAGGCCTGAGGGCAGAGGACTTGCAGGCAGAGTCTGTGAGCTGCTCAGCTGTTTCTCCCGATTCCTCAGGAGCCTGGGCCGGGGGCCAGCGGAGGGCTGGGGGGCTGAGGAGAAGGTCATGTGGAGCCTTTCTTTGAAGGTGAGGTATGAGGGTCTTATAGAAAGGGCAGCTCCAGTCAACCCTCACGCCACAAAGCCCAGCTGATGGCGCCCAGCTCCACCACCATCTCCCAGCACCACTTGGGCCTCCTGCTCTTTCAATGCTGTCCCTTTTTGCAGGCCAGGTTCACTTGCTGTCAATCACCCCCACGTGTCCTGCTCAAGCACTCCTGTGGGCACGGCAGATTCAATGGAGGACAAAGTGGGGTTCCCCCTCCAGCTCCAGGGGCTTCCCTAGCTGTGCAAGAGCCACCCCTGACTCCAGGGTCCCTGATCTGAGCACTGCCCTCCCAGACTGCCCAGACCCAGGTGAACAGAGCCACCACCTGACAAGACCTGCCCCTCCCACCACCAACCCTAACCCAGCTCTGATTCTGAAATGCAGTCCACCTGGCTTCTAATCCTCACTGGGTCTGGTCTGTGTAGGTTGTTGGCAAACAGCCCCCACGGAGGCTCCTGCAACCCACGGAGCAGCGGAGGTGGAAAACTCGCTACATCTGGCCCCCAAAGCCTTCTCTAGGGTTGGGGCGCCCTCTAGTGCCCACTGGGCATGTGACCGTCCTTGCCCACAGAAGGGTACAGCTCTGTGCCACAGGGTCCCTCTCCCAAACGCCACTCCAGGGTGGTGAGCTGCAAGATTGCCGAAACTTCTCAGGTGCATCTTCCAAGCAAGCCTTCCATGTAGCTCTGGATTGCATATCCCACTCTGAATACAGGCTTTCAGGCGTCCACTGAAGGCCCTTCTGCAAATTTGGCTCCCTCCTCAGTGGAAACAGGGGAGCCAAGGCCTCGCCTCTCCTGAGTCCAGCCCCTTAGGCTGCGGAGCTCAGCTCAGTGAGCTGTGGTCTCTCCTCCTCCTCCCTCAGCTGCCCTGCCAGTAGTCCTGCCCCATCAGGCAGGATGGGGGCAGGACACTAGGAATCAGCCAAGGGGTCTCCATCAGGGTTTCCCACAGAAGAGGTTGCTGTGCAGCTGTGGGCTAGACAGAGGTGCCTGCATCCCCTGGGAGCCCTGGTGCATCAGGAGAGCCTTCTGCACCTCTGCTGCCCCAGGAGACAGAGGCAAGGGGCAGGTGTTGGTGAGGGAGACCAGAAGCCTGGCTCTGTGGTTCTCACTGGGTGATACTGGGGAGAGGAGAGGCAGTTCTAAAACAGGAGGCCCCTTCAGGCTCATTAGGAAAACCCCCTGGTGCCGGTCACTGGAAGGCCACCCCCCCGGGCTCCCAGCTATGCTGCTCCTCCAGGAGCCGGCACAGAATGTCCTGCAGACACCATGCCAAGAAAGCCTGCCTGCCTTCTCAGTCACCCTGCTGCTCAGGGCACTCCGGTCCCCTTGCAATGCCCGGAGATCAGCACAGGCACTCGAACCACCTGCTGCTGCCTTCACAAGTATGCATTAGCAGGGAGCTGGATTGGAAGTGGAGTGGTGGGGACTCCAGAGCTTTATCTGTTGCAATACATCACAGGCCCTGAGAATTCCTCTAAGTCACGTCAGTGTTAGACTTCTCTCACAGCCAGAGACACCCAGAGCCCCCTGCCCCCAACCTTCAGTACCCTCCACACCCACTCCAGCTCATAGCAGTCTTCCGCCAGCATTCTGGAGCAGGGACCCAAGCCCCAGCAAGGGCTGGGCGTGTAATACCTGTGTGTAGCCAGGGCACGTTCTCCCCGGTGGCACCCTGAGGAGAGGCAGTAAGTGTTCAGGGCTCGGCACCCAGAAGGGCGGAGGGCTGGGTTCTCCCTGCACAGCGACAGTTAAGGGCATACAGCACACTGCGCTCCAACTGTCCTAGTCATCTATGCACTTGACGACGTCACTCCCAACTCTCAACTCAGCAGATGAGGAAGGTTGATGAGGCCGGCCCAGGTCCCAGCAGCATCATGACACCCACACCAACCCTCCACCAGCTGGCTCCAACAGTCCTCATCCAGCTCGCCTGCTTCATCTGGGCTCACGGTTCCAACAGCACCTTCCTGCCAGCCCACACCTGCACAGCTTGCTGCCATGTAGCCCCTCCCTGCCAGGCAGTGCCTGGCCACGCCTCTGCCCCCGCCCACTCTGGTTGCCACAGGAGGTGCCCTTCCTGTCCTCTGCAGAGCTCTGCTGAGGCTTCAGCAAATCCCACCCTTCCCCTCCACATCTTATTCACACTCAGCACACACACACACACTATTCACATATTGTCACACACTGTCACACGTGCACACACTAACACAATCACACATATACATATTCACACCCTCACAAACACATTCACATGCTGTCCCACACATTAGTACTCTGTCACATACATTGTCACACATGTACACACACAACCTCACACACTGTCTCACACTCACACACTGTTACACATATACAAACACACAGTCCCACATGCTTATACTCACACACACATTCTCACACTGGGTCACACGCACACACATACACACACTCACCTGCATACACACCCTCTCATACATATGCACACTCACACACTTCCATCTCACAAGCTGTTCCCCCCCATGGTCTCTCACCTGTCCCTGGCCCCCAGGTCCCGGACAGCGAGGGGCACAGAGCACATTGCAGAGCTTGGCGTCCAGAGCCAGTCAGGACCCTGGACACTCCCCAGGTGCAGCTCCCTCCTTTTACAGATGAGGAGACAGAGGCCCAGAAAAGAAAAGGCACTCAGTCCTGGTCACCAAGCCAGAGCACCTGCTGCAGGGGACAGATGTGCAGCAAGGCCAAGGAAAGCTGGAGCTTGGGGCAGATGTGCCTGTGGAGTCCCTGCTGTCCTCTGTGCCCCTCCGACACATGCATGTGGACAGCAGCTGGCGTGGGCTGCTTGGTCCCTCCCCACCTGCCTCGTGAACACCTGTTGCTTCAGCGTGTAAGACATCAGTCACGCTCTCGTGCTACTGCGAATCCCCCAAGCTCTCGGGCGGCTTCTGAGAATGCCTGCCTTGATTTCACAATCGCCCCTTTGTGTCTCCTTGTTCCACGGTGGATCCCTGGGCTCAGTCCGTGCCATGACGGTCTGGGCTTGACTAGGCGTGCATTGTAAGTGATGCTTCAAGTGGGCTTTTGCCTCTTCAACCAGATTGTGAGCTTCAAGAAAGACAGAGCGTGTGCTCACGCTAACTGGCAAGACGCAGTACGCACAGGCCTGCATGGAGACATTCAGCAAGAGGATCGTGGAGATGACACTGGAAGCAACTGGCCATTGCTGAGTCTGGAGCCAGGGCTGTGGGGAGTTGCTGGAGTCAGGGTTGTGGGGAGGCTCTGAGAGGCTAGAGGGGGAACGTGGGAAAGGGTGCATTGAGGGAAATGGGGCCGGGCAGCAGGGGTGCTGAGAGTGGAGCTGAATGGTCTGCTCCAGGCTGCACCAGCTAGGGTGGCTGCCTGGAGCTCTGGCCTGGGTGGGCTCATGCCTGGCAAGGCCCCAGCATGGCTTCTGTTCTGGTCTTCAGTACTGATCTGTGTGTCCTCTCTGTCCCAGAGCCGAAGGATGAAGTGGAGGAGGTGTCGGATGACGGTGAGTGCCGTGCCGGGCCAGCTCTCCGGGGTGGTGACGGGGGGCTAAGGAAGGGGACCTGGCAGCTCACGCTCACGCTGCCCCCTGCCCCGCAGACGAGAAGGAGCCCGAGGTCGACTACCGGACAGTGACCGTCAACACCGAGCAGAAAGTGTCTGACTTCTATGACATCGAAGAGAGGCTAGGATCGTAAGTGGAGTGGGACGCTGCCTTCGCCCAGGGTGAGGGTGGCACAGGGCCCAGGTTAAACGCAGAACCTCGAGCTCCCTTCTCTTCCTGGGCTCTGCCTCCTCCCCAGGCCGAGATTCCTACAGAACCAGGAGGGCTTGGCCCATGAGAGGGTCACTCACCCCCCAGCTCTGCCCTGGCCCATGTCTTTCAAAGCCTTGGGCCAAGTCCTTCCTTTGCTGAGCCTCCACTCACAGCACAGGACTGAAGTGAGGGCGCAGGATCTGGATTGGATTGTGTGTAGGATCCCTTTGGTTTGAGCCTGACCAGTCCTCACTCTCCAGCAATGCTAGTGTTAATGCTTCTTTAAGCTGCACAGTGGGAGCAGGTGTTGTGGCATGGTGGGTTCAGCTGCCACCTGCAACTCCATCATCCCATATGGGACTGCCGGTTGGAGTCCCAGCTGCTCTGCTTCCAATCCAGCTTCCTGCTAATGCACCTGAGAAGGCAGTGAAAGGTGGCTCAAGTACCCCCGTGGGAGATCCTGATGGAGTTCCAGGCTCCTGGCTTTGGCTTGGCCCAGCCCCAGCCATTGTGACCATTTTCTGTATCCCTGGAGAAGTGCAAGGAGTGGAAGAAAAAGGAATGTGGCTTGGAATTTACTTCCAGTGGTTTCTGGGAAATACGAGAGCACTTCAAAAAGTCCGTGGAAAATGAAATGTAATCTTTTCAATGAATTAGAGCCATTTTTTCTTTATTTGGGAAGCAGAGATACAGACAGAGCTCCCATCTGCTGGTTCACTCCCCAAATGCTCTCAATGATCAAGACCAGAGCTAAGAACCAGGGATCCAGTCCAGGTCTCCTGCAAGGGGAACAGGGACCCAGCCACTTGAGTTATCACTGCTGCCTCCCAGGGTCTGCAGTAGCAGGAAGCTGGAGCCAGGAACCAGAGCTAGAATTGAACCTGGACCCTCCAAGGTGCCAGTTTGGCCATCTTAGGCCAAATGCTCACTCCAGGAAATTTATTTTTCTGCAGAGGAAGTTTCGAAATCCACGCACACTCGTAAAGCAGTGATGCACGGCTTCTCACAGCTCTATGGAAGCGGGGTGCTCTCTCAGGGCCCCCACACTCCCATAACCTGCAGTGGGTACCAGGGTCCTCCCTGGGCTCCAGCCAGGGCCCAGTGCTAGAGGGTAGAGTGGAAAGAAAGGAACTGCTCAGCCATTTTCTGTTTAGGAGGAACAACCTCAATGCAACACCATGTCCCTCTGCAGGAAAGGTCAGAGGTCGAATGTCAGCATCACAAAGGTGCTTTAGGGGTGGGCATTAGGCTTAGCAGTGAAGACACTGCTTGGGATGCCCACAGCCCATACCTGCGCCTGGTTCAAGTCCTGGCCCTGCTTCCCAGCAAGCTTCCTGCCCGTGCATAGCCTGGGAGGGAGCAGATGATGGCTTAAGTACATGAGCCCTTGCCACCCACGTGGGAGACCCAGATGGAGTTCCAGGCTGCTGACTTCTGCCTGGCCCAACCCCAGCTTTCTGCAAGCATTTGAGGCGTGAACCAGTAGATGGAAGATTCTCTCTCTCTCTCCCTCTCTCCCTCTCAAACTAAATGAAAATAAATAAATAAAAATGAATGTACTTCCTTGCTCCAGAGCAGAGCCAGCAGGCTTTTCCTGTGAAGGGCCAAGTTGGTCCTGTAGGCTCCGAGGGCATGCGCCGTGTCACAACTGCGCCGTTCTGCTGGCACAGCGCAGGACCCGCCAGCGATGACACAGAAGCCAACAGGCGTGGTTGCATCCCAATGAAACTTCCCGTACAAGAAGAGGGGGCCCCTGCTTGTCCCACAGACGCTGATTTGCCAACCCTCAGTTCAGTGGAAAGCCTTACTTAGTGTGGCCTCTCTCCTGCCCCCTTCCTTTGCAGTGGGAAATTTGGACAGGTCTTCCGACTCGTAGAGAAGAAAACTGGAAAAATCTGGGCAGGGAAGTTCTTCAAGGCGTACTCGGCCAAAGAGAAGGAGAACATCCGGCAGGAGATCGGCATCATGAACTGCCTCCACCACCCCAAGCTGGTGCAGTGCGTGGACGCCTTCGAGGAAAAGGCCAACATCGTCATGGTCCTTGAGATGTGAGTGGCCCTGCGGGCACGTCCCCACCTTCCTGCGCCCTGGCCCCTAGCCACTGCTGCCCAAGAGGAAAGCACGGCGCACAGGGGTGTGATAGGCCACGTGCTCACAGGCCACGGGTGGGGCTGAGCAGTGGGATCCAGAAGGTCTGTGCGTGGTGCTGGCCTTGACCCACAATCACCAGCCTGGCTCAGTGGCTCCTGGAGGAGCCCTGCCCCCCTTCTCAGCCTCATCCCCCTCAGAGGGCAAAGCCCTCCCAAGCTCCCTGGCTTCAGTCAAGGCCATGCTGAGCTGCAGGTGGTTTTGAGTGGAAGGGAAGAGGTCGAGTGACTTTCTGACTTCCCCGTGAACCAGGAGTGCGAGGCGGGGATCTGGACCCAGGGAGTGGAACCCTTGCTCCCGGCCTCCCGCTGTGCCTCTCCGTGTCCCAGTCCAGCTGCTTGTTCTCTGCTGCCTTCCCACTCTCCAAGAGTGGCTCCTTCTCTCCTGGCATGGACACAGGCACAGGGGATGGACCAAGTGGCCTCCAGCCAGGGCTTCCCCAGAATTCCTCATTTCCTTTACCTCCCAGTCCTCCACCTCCCTTACCTCTGAGCTGCTAGTGTGCTCTAGCACAGGTACACACATGCCCCACACACTTATATACCACCCCCACACACATATACCACACACACCCAGCACACATATACCACACACACATATACCACCCGCACACACACATACCCCCCACACACATGCCCCAAACACATATACCACCCCTCACACACATACTCCACACACACCCCACACACATATATCACATACACATATACCACAGACATACACATATATACTACACACACATATACCACCCCCACATACACCACACACACACATATAGCACCCCCACACACATATACCACACGCACCCAGCACACATATACCACACACACGTATGCCACCCACACACACACATGCCCCACACACACATGCCCCACACACATATACCACCCCTCACACATATACCACACACACATATACCACCCGCACACACACATACCCCCCTACACCACACACACATACCCCACACACACATGCCCCACACACATATACCACCCCTCACACACATATACCCCACATACACCACACACACACATATAGCACCCCCTCATACCATACATATATACTACACACACCACAAGCACCAGTCACACCCCTCACACCATACACACCACACACACACACACCCCACTCACATATTCCTCACACACACAACACACACATATACCACCCACATACACACCACAAATATATAACACACACACACCCAGCACACACCATACACATATACCACCCCCAAACATATATAACACATACATGGCGCACACCACATGTATACCACACTGAGCACACACCACACACACACCACACATACATATACCCCACACACACAGCACACATACCACACTCCCACACAACACACCCTGCATCCCCTCCACACACCACACACACACATTACATACCACATACCACACACATATACCACACACAACACACACATATACCACACCCCCCACAAACACACCACAAACATCACATACCACAGATATACCACACCCACACACATCATACGTACCATACACCACATACACATACCACACACACCACACACATATACCACACACACCCCTCACACACATATATCACGTACACATGTACCTCATACACTGGGCTGGGGAACTTGCCCCTTGAGAAGAGCTCAACCCAAGGAAGGGAGCACCACCGTGTGGCTGCGGTGGGCTGGTGATTCACTGAGCCCAGCAAAAAGCAGCACTGGACCAGAATCACCATGCCACAGCTCCCTTTTTGGCTACAAAATTCTACAGTGCTGTGCAACCACGAGAGACTTGGAGGAACCCTGAGTTGTCTTCCGTCTCTCCGTCTACTTCCAGCCCCAAATTCAAACTTTCGTCCCCGCTTTCGGGAAATAGCTATGCGTGTCCGTGGCCTCTTCTCATTCTGCCCTCACGATCGCCTGTGGCCTGCAGCTTTCACCTTTGTTCTCGAACAGGTTGCCACGTCCAGGCAGCGTGGGCATGTGAGGACATGTGGCAGAATGTCTTATCTTTAGAACTCAAACCTTGAGCGAGTTCGTGAGAGGGCGCGGGGAGGGGCAGGAGGCGGCCGGGCCCGGAGAAAGCTGGGCAGCCGCAGCAGTGGGCAGAATACCATACTTAGCTTGGAATTGGGAGCTGGCACGCTGGATGGAAAAAGTAGGGAGGAAACGTAAGAAGGCTTCGGCTGGTCTGGCTTTCATCCCTCCGCCTCTGGCCTCCCCCCGTGGACAGGAGCAAGCCTCACACGCACCGATGCCAGAAGGCTCCCCTACACTGGGCTGGGGAACTTGCCCCTTGAAAAGAGCTCAACCAAGGAAGGGAGCAACCCCAACCCCCGCGCAGCCTCCCTCCCAGCTTCTGCATTCCAACCCAGGCCTCCTCGTGTCGGGGAGGCTGGGTTCTCAGCAGGGCGATGGCTCTCCTCCTCGTTGGATGGAGAAACTGAGGTTAATCATGGGACAATGCCTGGGGATAGGGAAAAGTGAGAACCCGTTCCAGGGTCCCCAGATGTGCTGAGAATTAAGAAGGAATGTGTGTCTGCAGCCTTCTTGAATTCCGACTACTGGACAAGCTCCTGTCACACAGCAGCCTTGCTCAGAGGCAGGGGCTCCTCCAGACCCTGGCCTGGAGCTGGTCATTTTGGAAGTACTTGGGACCCCGAGCACTAAGGAAGGTGCGGCGTTTAAGCTGAGCTGTCCGAGGCTGGCCCTCACCTTTGTGCTTCCACCGAAGTGGCTGCCATGAGCTAGGGGTAGAGAGTCTGGGGGGGTGGAGGGAGTTCCTGGGGAGCGCCATTCCTTCTGACTGCCAGTGAGGCCTGGCCAAGGTCTAGAGTTCAGGGACTGACCTGACCCCTTGGAATTAGGTGGGCTTGGTGGCAGTGGGTATTTGCTCGTGTGTTCAGCATTTGTTTATTGAGCACACACTTCCTCTGGCACTATCCCATCTCTATGGGCAGCGGCTTCTCCCTGAGGGACCAATACTCTCCACCCATAATCTTGGACAATTTGAAGAGAAACCGACTTTTTTCCATCCAAGAAAGTGCACCATGGATGTGAGGGCGATCTGGCTGCGACATCTGTCACCCCATTGATCGCCAGGGTTGATTCGGCTGATCTGGCTGGCTAGGCGGGTGTCCCCTTCCTCCCTCACCGCTCCATGTGCGTCCCTCCCGAAGCTGCGCGCTCGGTCGAAGAGGACGACCATCCCCGCTAGAGGAGGACCGGTCTTCGGTCAAGGGTATACGAGTAGCTGCGCTCCCCTGCTAGAACCTCCAAACAAGCTCTCAAGAAAGTGCACCATGGGAGCAGGTTTCAAACTACACTGAATGCCCTTCGATAGGATTGAGCCTCTGTGAGCTGATGTTGAGTAAGCCACCTGCAGAAGTGCAGTAGGAATGATCCCCGCGGCTTGGGGTCCTGCCAGGCCTCCCAGGGGCACTGAAAGTCCTGGCTGCATACTCTTCCAGGCTGCCTGACACTTGAAATTGCACGCCTGGGGCCGCCTTGTCTGTGCCGTGTGTTGCCCGATGCTAATAAGGGTCCAGCGACAAGGCAGACCTTTTCCAGACACGTCCACAAACGTGACACTCAGACCCAGGGCCCACAGGAGACAGAGGGTGCAGAGCAGCAGTGTGGCCACCCAGACAGGGCAAGCCCCCTTCCCAGGGGGGCGTAGGGAGAGGCTTCTCGGAGCCGTAGTTGAGTAAGCCAGGATTTCCCAACCACGTCTGATCGTAAGAGTGACCTGGGGTGCTTCTTAAAATACCCGGACTCAGATCCCTGTCCCTCCCAAGATTCTCTCAGTCAGAAGGGAGAGGATCTTGGGGCTCTGTATTTTCAACAGGAACCCCTGAGTGATTCTTTGAAATACAATGTTGATCGTGGACATTGAGCACTTAGTGTGTGCCAGGCACGCCCCTAAGCACGTGTGCAGTAACTCAGGCTGTGAGGGGACACGGTTTTTATCTGCACTGTACAGCTGGGCAGACGAGGCACTGAGCTGTTAAGTCCTGGCTGAGGCCTAGGACTGGAGACTGGAGTTTGACTTGGAGCTTGCTGGAGAGCAATAGAAAATGAAGGCTTCAGGCCAAAGGCGCCACCTGCTGAGCGTGCAGGGACCTTCTCCAGTTGCTTCTAAAGTCTCAGCTCCAGCTCCCCCCAGTGGCCGCTGGCTCAGCCCTTCCAGGAGTGCCTTCTGAGATGGCCGCAGACAGGCTGGGCTGTGCTGGGCCCCCAGTGCGTCCTTGCCCGTCTCTCTCATGGAGTCAGTACCAAGACCCACCTGCGCACCACAGGCTGTCAAACTGTGATTAGCATGTGCAGAGTATTTCTCAAAGGTTCCCACATCCCTAACAACTGGGAGAGGTGGGGACAGATAAAGGGGCTCAAAAAGGCTAAGTCACTTGCCTGAGGTCAAACAGCTCATTAAATCAGAGACAGGCCTCAAACTCCAGTCCTGTCTGCACGCTGACTCCCCTTAGGAGAGGGGCAGCCTTGTGAGAGAGGCCCCGGTTGAAGCCACCCCGCCTTGTGCAGCTGGTAAACTACTGGCCCTTGTGGAAGTGGCCTTCCTGATCTCCGGGTAGCCTATGAGTTGCCAGAGAGATGCTGTCAATTTTCTGGGCAGTGAGTAAGGAAGGTGGTCAGAGGGCTGGGGCAGGGAAACAGGGGACTCATGCAATGGAGCCCTGAAGGGCCGGATGCTGGCTGGCTGGCTGGCCTGGGGGAGAAGCAGAGCTGATTGGCCATGGTCTATAGTCTAGCCAGGGGGCATGTGTTTGGCGCAGTGGCTAAGACACTGCTTGAGGAGCCCACACCTCACATCAGAGTGCCTGGGTTCGAGTCCTGGCTCAGCTTCAGATTCCAGCTTCCTGATTCCAGTAGCAGGTGATGGCGCGAGTAATTGGGTCCTTGCCACCCACGTGAGAGATCTGGATTGAGTTCAGGACTCCTGGACTCAGCCTGGCCCAGCCCTGGCTATTGTAGGCATTTGGGAAGTAAACCAGCAGATGGAAGATACCTCACCCCCACCCCTTCCCTCTCCCTCTCCCGCATCTCTCTCTTCCTTTCAAATCAATCAAAAATAAATACATAATTAATTATTAATAAAATAAAATCTATCCAGATAGAAAGAATGATACTTCCAGCATGAGCAAGGTTGGGGACCGGTGAGAGGAGCTGGCTATGGCTGCAGGGAGTAGCCTGATACTGTAGCCCTAGCCAGAGTCAGCAGATCCATCACATCTGTAGGTGTAATGGGTTACAGCTGACTAATTTTAGAACACTGGCCGAGGCTCTTTTTTATTGAAGATGTTTTTCCATTCCCAGCTGTGCAAGATAAATGATTATGGGAACTGTATTTTAAAACCTCGCTTCTCCATGACTAAAGGACATAGCTTGGGTACAGGGATGTTCCCTTATGCACCTTTCGTCATTTGAGGGATGGACACTGCCCAGTGGTCACCCTTTTGGTGAAGGTGGTCACGTCTGGATCTTCTCATTCACGCCCACCTCTGAAGCTGCTTGGCCCAGTTGCTTCCCTGAGTCCCCCACCCCCGGCCCCCCGGCAGCTGAGCAGGTGCAGGGCAGTGTCCCCCAAGCAAGAAACCAGGAGGTCCTGGTCCAACTTCCACGGTGGAGTTCAGAAACTCAGGGAGCTGTAGCGGGAGCCCGTCACCCCCAAACCCTGAACTTTCCTGCCTGGGGCCCCCTAGTCCCAGCCTGCCCTCGGCCGGCCTCCCTGCCAGCGTGGCCCCGGGGGTCCCGGGGGGCTGAGTGTGCTGTGCCTCCACAGAGTATCAGGTGGCGAGCTGTTTGAGCGCATCATCGACGAGGACTTCGAGCTGACGGAGCGCGAGTGCATCAAGTACATGCGTCAGATCTCGGAGGGGGTGGAGTACATCCACAAGCAGGGCATCGTCCACCTCGACCTCAAGCCTGAGAACATCATGTGCGTCAACAAGACGGGCACCAGGATCAAGCTCATCGACTTCGGCCTGGCCAGAAGGCTGGGTAAGGCCCGTGCACCTCTCCCGCCGTCTCCCCCCACCAGGGCCCAGGTTCAGGTCCCGCCCCCGCTGCTCCCTAGCCCTGGGGCTGTCAGCCTCAGGTGCCTCATCCTGCAGCAGTGGAGTGGGCAGCAATGGAGCCTGCCTCAGAGCCGTTGAGGAGTATTGGCAGAGTCCCTCCAGGGCACACGACAGCAGCAGGGCCCCACCCACAGGACAAGCGGCTCTTTATTTGATGATGATGATGATGATGGCGACTGCCATTGCCTCTTTTGCTTTGCACTCTGGTGCCATTAGCGGCAAAGCTCATTTTGGTGACAGTGGCTGCCCACATCGGCACCTTGCTCTGTGGCTGCCAGAGCGCTTTCATGGTAAAAAGAAAGCGGGGAGCTCCCTGACCTTCACAGTGAGGTCAGCAGGGCAGTTGCTATGGTACCCAATTTGTGGAGCAGGAAGCTGAGGTCCCACAGTGAGCCAGAGGAGGTGCTGGGGCTGGAGGCAGGACACCGGGCCTCGCTCAGGGTGCTCCCTGGCACTTCTGCTTCCCCCGTGCTGAGCAGGAGGGAGGGGATAGGGGACTCAGCCCTGAAGTCGCTGGAGCCGGGGACTGGGCCTCACATGTCGCCTGCCCACTTCGGCCACTGTCCTGCTAGCCGGCAGCCCCGGGAGCTGCCTTTGCTTCACCACGCAGCGGGCAGTGGGAGGAGCTGGCCAAGCTGATGCCACTCAGTCAGCCTTCTCCCAGGACTCGCAGTCCTGGTGGGGCTGGGTCCCATCCATCGTCCAAGGGCAGGGATGGAGTGGGGGTCTGCTGGGCAGTGACTTGCCTCTTGGCCAGCACAGGTTGGGAGAAGCAGGCCCCGAGGTTCAGCCATCATGCCTGGCCCACTGTCTCCTCCTGCTCACGGGACAGGGGGGAGCTGGGTCTGGTGAGCAGGACTGGCTCCCACACAGTAGCCACTCATTAATTAACAAACAAGGAGATCCTTGGCCTCAAGAGCTGGCCACATCAGGACCCAAGGCACACGAGTGCAGGCTCGCTGGGCACAGGGTCACTATGGGGGCACTGTGTCAGTCAGAGAGCCAGGAAGCGGTTCCAATTCAGTGGGAAGGATTAGAGTTGGGGCAGAGCTTCCACATCTCCAGGATGCCGGCCTTGGCTTTAGAACATGGGCCATGCACTCTGCAAAGCTCAACGAGACCAGAAGTAGCCCCAGGCGTGAGGTCCGCGGCCATCCACTACTGGCAAGGCCCTCTTGCAGTGCCACCAATGCCAGCACCCTGCCTCAGGTGCATGCCAAGGGGCAGCTCTGGTTCTTTGTGGCCAAGGGTCACCAACTTGGGTTACAGCCTCTCCCGGCCTTGACCATGGTCCCTGCAGACCCTGCGGGCCAGGCATGAAGCTCCAGGACGAGGAGGAGGAAGGCGGTGGGATGGGGTGGGCAGTGCACAGCTCAGGAGCCAGACCACAGTGGGTGAGTCTTGGGACCATTAAATGGGCAGGGGAGGTCCTTCACCCACTGGCCTCACTTCCATCCTCAGTGGTTGTAGGTACCACATGGCCTCCTGGGCTTGTGGAGGGTTTTGAAGAGGAGAATGAGGACAGCATGAATGACAGTTCAGCAGAAAGTCCCTTTTCTGTCCCGGGGCCTACTTCATGGGAGAGACAGGCATGAAAGGACCATTTTGCATACAGGACGTCTGAACTGAGTGTGGCCCTTTGGTTCACTGATGCACTGATGTGTATGTTTAATGAGAAGGCCACGTGTCTCTGTGCAGTCATCGAGAGAGAGCTCCTGAGGGTGACCCCGGTCTGTGTCCCTCCTGGCAGTTGTGTCCCTCAGGGCAGCTGCTTATCTGCTTCTCTGGAGCTGGCGCCTGATCCCTCTGCATCCTGGTTTCAGAGAACGCCGGGTCTCTGAAGGTCCTCTTCGGCACCCCGGAATTCGTGGCACCCGAAGTGATCAACTACGAGCCCATCAGCTATGCCACGGACATGTGGAGCATCGGCGTCATCTGCTACATCCTGTGAGTCCCCGTGGCTCCTGCAGGAGGGGCCCCAGGCTGCCCTGGTGTAGCAAGGACAGGGCCAGCGTCAGAGCCGGGAGGGTTCTGAGTGGGTCGCCAGCATGACACATCTGTAGCCACGTGTAGCTAACCCAGACCCCTATTCTGGGCCCTCACCATCCCCTCACTGGCCAACCAGGCCTTGGGTAGGCAGGGAGGGACATATGGCCAGCACCCTCACTGTGGGTGGTCTGTGGATGGAGGGGGACGGCGTCCAGGTGGACGTCTCTGGGCATTTTCATTGTCTTCAAGGCCAGTGTGAGTAGGGGACCCCAGTGGCTCCCGTTGTTTCTGAGTCCAGTACACAGAACCGATTAACAAGCTCTCAATGACAGAGCCTTCAGTGGGACCAACAGGAAGCAGCACAGTAATTACAACTGGGGCATCAGGGGCAAGATGTGAAGCTGTTTGCATTAGCAATGCTGGCGAACGCGAGGCAGGGCCCAGCAAACTAGACCTAGGCGTGGCAGGTGCCTGCACGCACAAAACAGCCAGGTGGTCCTTAAGTCACAGGCTCTGGTCCCAAGGTCCAGGGGACCCAAAACTTTGTGTTCCTTGCACGTTCTAGGTTGTGGTCACCAAGTTCTAGAACATTGTATCTCAGCAGATCCCCCTGACTAGTTCCTGAAGCCGCAGGCTGCGATCAGTCTTTAGCCTTCAGAGCCAGCTCTGACCTTGTGCGGCCTGCTGAGTTTGTGGGATGGTCTCCCTGAAGACGCAGAGAAACAGGTGCATCCAGTAAAGAACGAAATTCTGTTGTCAAAGCAAAAGGGAAATGAGCTGTTGTCCTAGAATACTTGGAGGGGATTGCTCAGACTGCTCTGCTAGACACCAGGGGTCTCCAGCCCTGAGCATGAGGGAAGGCCCCAGGGGCTCTGACACTCAGCCGGCTTTGGAAGCCGCTGTTAGAAAAGCTGAGGCGGTGGCTGGCCCTGGGCCTCGTGGTTAAGATGTCAGTGAAGACACCCACCTGCTACATGGGAGTGTCTGGGTTTGATTCCCACCTCTGGCTCTTGACTCCAGCTTCCTGCTAACGCAGACCCTGGGAGGCAGCACCGATGGCTCAGGTGATGAGTTCCTGCCACTCACATGGGAGACCTGGATTGAGTTCCTGCCTTTCAGCTTTACTCCAGGCGTTTGGAGAGTGGACCAATAGATGAGGAAGCTCACACTCTCATTCTTGCTGGCTCTCTCCCCACCTCCACTCCTTCCTCTCTGTCTCTCAAATAAATCTTTAAAAGGAAAAGAAAGGGCAGGGCAGGGAAGGGAAGAAGGAAGGAAGAAGAGAGAGAGAAAAGGCTTGGCAGAAGCAGGACAGTTCTGAGCTATGCAGCCTTCTCCCAGGCTCAGGAGTTTCACTCTTGTGGGGTGCACGGTTAGGGCAGCCTCCCTCTGAGCGGCAGGGGAGAAACCCCTGGCCAGGCATGCAACTCCAAGCCTCTCCCTACACCAGCCCCTCTGGGTGGAGACAGCTGCCGTGACGATACTAGGAGGGTAAGGAACAGAGGGCGGCAGGCCTCACCTGCTTCCTCCAGGGCTTCCCCAGGCCTGCAGTTGCCCACACTGACCTCTGGCCATGGGGACACCCCAGACCCCTGAGACGCCCTCCCCGGCAGCCACTGTCCTGGGCCCATCTGCTGTCCCCAAGGAGACTTGCCTTCCTGTTTGCTACCTGAGTGTTCTTCCTAGCACAGGGATCTTCACAGGGGCTTGTGCTTGGTCCTCAGAACAACCTGGAGTGGGTCATGCTTGCATTCAGTCTTCATTTGGCATTGAGATCACAGGGGCCAGGAAAGTCCCTATGGCTGGCTGCCACCCCCCAGTCTGGGCAGGGTGACCAGCTGTCCTAGTTTGCCTGTGACTGATAGGTGTCCCAAGATTCAGGACTATCAGTGTTAAAATGGGCACAACCATGGACAAACCAGAACCACAGGGCTGCTCTGTGTGGGTCACAGTCCAGGTCAAGAAATGCAACCTAGCCAGGGCCCTTGCAGCCCTCTGGTGCCCCCTCCTGGTTACCCTCAGAGGTCACCATTATGTTCATGAGTTAGCTTTGCTTGTTCCTGAACTTTCATTTTGTGTGTGTGTGTGTGTGTGTGTGTCTAAGATTTATTTTATTTATTTGAAAGGCAGGATTACAGAGAGAGGTGGAGACAGAGAGAGGCAGAAAGAGTAAGAGAGAGAGAAAGAGAATCATCCATCCTCTTGTTCACTCCCCAAATGACTGCAATGACAGGGGCTGGGCCAGGCCAAAGCCAGGAGCCTGGAACTCCATCTCAGTCTCCCATGTGAATGTAGGGTCCCAAGTACCTGGGCCATCTTCTGCTGCTTTCCCAGGTGCATTAGCAGAGAGCTGGATCAGAAATGGAGCAGCTGGGAATCGAACCAGTGGCCAGATGGGAAGCTGGCATCACAGGTGGCAGTTTAACCTGCTGCACCACAGCACCAGCTCCTGTTCTTGAACTTTCTGTCAGTGGAATCAAACAGAGAGAAGTGTCTGGCTCCTCCCATTCACAGTAGCCTGTGGCTGTGGATGGTTCACTCTCAATGCTCTGCAGTATCCCTTTGTGTGAACGTAATCCAGGGACTCTGCACTCTTCCATGGTGGGCTTTTGAGTGGTTCCCAGCTTGCAGGCATTCTGGTCCATGTGCTTCAGTGGTCTCTGCATTTCTGAACATCCTCTTGAGACCCAGAACTAAGACTACTGGCCAGAAGAGCACTTTCTTTTACAATGCAAGTTCTTTTCACGGGAGGCCCTGGGCTACATTATAATAGAAGACTTCCAAAGCCAAGGCCAAGAACTGAGGAAGAGTCTTTGAAATAGGAGAAGGTGCTGCGATGCCTGGGGCACCAGGCTGAAGGTGTCTGGCAGAGACGTGTCAGGAGGCAGGCTGGCAAGGAGCAGGCTGGCTCAGCCCTGTGCAGCAGCCTGGCTCTCGGACCCAACCACAGTGGCCGACCTGACTCTCACAGTGAGCATCAAGACCTCAGAATCCCCCTCCCCAGCCAGAGCCCTGGAGAGAGCATGCAGCGCGGGAGCCGTCCAGGGCCAACCCGATGGCCTCCTTCCGGCCTGGCTGTGCCATCAGCCCTTGGGACACTTGCATCAGTTCTGTTCCTCTCTGCAGCCGGGTTGCCTGCCTGGCCACCCTTCATGCCAGGGAACTCCTCCTGGCATGTGGCTGGAGCCGGGTCATCCCACACTTGCTGCCTGCCCTGTATCGGCTGAGGTCCTCCTAAGTGGTGAGCTGTCAGACTTGGGGGAGCTGGCATCATTGAGGAGCTCCTTCCCGAAGCTGAGAGGCCAGGGCTGCACCACTGCCCGGCTGGCCTCCAGCCTGCCTTCCTGGGCGGGGAAGGGAAGGAGCAGGTGGGCTTGTGGAGCCCGCCTGATTCTGAAGGGCAAAGCAGGATTGGGTGCTCTCCCCGGGGCCCGCTTGGTTTCTGGCAGAGAGAGTGTGGAGAGCTGGAAGCCACACTTCCATTGGAAGAAATCCAGGCCTGCCTCCTTTTCCAAAGGCCTCCCCCTCTGCTGCCTCCCTGCCCTCCCCTACAGCCCCAGGTCGAGGACATGGTGTTCCCTGGCTGCCTACGGGGACACCGGGATTCTTCTCCTGGCCCTGCCCTCCTCCCTGCTCCAAATTCCTGCCGCCCCTCCCACCCCCAGCCCCAGAGGCAGAAGCAGCCCCCGCCTCCTTCCTCCAGGCCTTCTCCAGGCAGGGCTTCCCTCAGCACCCCACCTGGTACATGGCCGAGGGTGCCAGGATGGAGGAGAGGTGTGTGAGTGGCAGCAAGGCCGGCGAGCAGTCCTGGGGACAGAGCCCTGTCAGCTGCGAGGAGGCGTCCCCGTGCCGGAGCTCTTCTCGAGGAGCAAGTCTTTCCCACCCAGAGCTGGCCCTGCTGCTCCACTGCGGAGCCCAGACATGCTCTCTGCTTCCAGCCCTGCTGCCTCTGGGATCACCAGCCCTGGTCATCACCTTCAGGCCCTGCTGTCCAGGGACCTGGGCTATGGTTCCCGTGGCTGAAGCCCAGGCCACTGCTTGGTTGGCCACGGCACAAAACAACAGTGAGCTGCTCCCAGGGCCCCACCCAGCCCCCTCCAAGCCCCCACCAGAGAACCTGAGGGCCAGGACGAGGTGGAAGCCTAAGCCCATCTAAGCACTCAGTAGCTGTGCTGGCAGACACACGGTCCCCTTGGCTGGCTGCCAGTGCAGCCAGGCCACGTGTCTGTGACCTGCAAGGCTGCAGGGAGAAAGCATAGTGCGGGAGGCAACTCTGCAGCCTGTGGCCTCCTGACTTTCTGCCTGGGCCTCAGATCCCCTGGGTGAAGCTGTGCAGCAGGGCGATGAAGAACTGACGCCCCTGTGCCCTGCAGTCACTCCCTCTGTGACCCTGCGGCACAGACGCCAGTACTCAGCCTTGCAAAGTGAGCCAGGAGACTTGGTATGTGCTTGAGATACTGTGTGTGGAGAAAGTGCCGCATCCGGGGACTTGCCCTGGCCAACTGCAATGTGAAATCCAGATAAATCCATCGGCTGAGAGCAGGGAAGACCAGGAGCTTTGTCTTAATGCTGACAGTTTGCATTTGTGGATTGGGGGGTTCTTTTTTATCTTTTAGCAAATCATGATTTTTTTAAATAAAAAAATACAGGATCCCTTATGCAAATTTTGGCAACAGAGAAAAAGCCCAAAAGAAAACATGTTGGGGTCCTTTGAAATCCCATCACTGAGAAACAGCATCACTGCAAATTCAGACGCTCTCTTTGCCACCATGCCATGCACATTTAAGGGTGCTTCAGAAAGTCCCCGGAGGAATGGAATTAAAATGTACATTTATTTTTGTGCAAAGCAGTTTTGAAATCCATGCACAGCTTTTTCCTCATTGTGAATTTCCACTAACTTTTTGAAGACCCTTCGTAGGCATGGATCTCAAAACTGCACCAAAACAAGCTTATGTTTTAATTCCATTTTCCCTGAGCTTCTGACGTCTCCTCCTACCTCAGGTTCTGTTCTGGAGATGTGCTGTCTGCCAGGGAGTGTGCTGGGGAGCTCAGGCAGGCTGGGAGCCAGCCAGGGGAGAGGGGGCCGCTTCTGATGGATGGGCTGCCGGGAGGAGGGGTGCCAGAGGCCGGAGGCGAGGAGCAAGAGGAGCGAGCGTTGGGAGATTAAGACCCATCTTTGCAGGATTACAGCTCCTAATTAGGAAAGGAGGCTCACCAGGGGGACCTCGCAGCATTCCACAGCGGGGCTACTTGCTTTTCCTGCTGTCTTCTGGAGCGGGCAGGGCTTTCCCTCTCTGGCCTCCAATGGAAAAGTGTCGGGACAGGGAGCAGCACGCAGCTGGCGAGCAGGAGACAGGGTGCTTCTTGATGGGGCTGCTGAGGCCACACAGGATGGCAGCAATGGGGTCCCCTGGGAAATCCAGCCCAGTCTCCTGTCTCCTTGGTGTATAAAAGGGGAAACTGAGGCCTGGGGAGGGGAAGGAGAAGCACACACCAGTGCAGACTTGGATACGTGAACACCCAACCTTGCCTCTTGGGGTCATGGCCAAAATCATCATCCCTTTGCCTTCATAAAGTACAACTCTGTGTCCTGCTTTTAAAAGCACCATCTACAGAAATCTATCACTCAAAACACAAATGTGTTCATCAGAGTGAGATAATTCACGGTTCCTCCCGCTGCTAGCTTTCTCCAGGACTTCAAGGGGGTTCCGTTCTGCTAGTCGTGGTTCCGGGAGGGGTGGAATGCCAGGCAGCTCTAGAATATATACCTCATAGCCATATATGGTGATGAACTCTTAGGGCTTGGGAGAAGGGCCGTAAGCAAGGCCCTAACTGCAGATGCCAATGGCCTGGGGGCCTCAGAGCAGGATCAGGACAGGATCTGCTACATAATTTGCAAGGTCAAAAGCCAGGGCAGTTTGCTCAAACACCATTAAGAATTTCAAGATGACATCAGGAGAGCATTAAACCCAGAGTGAGACCCAAATAAGGGCGGGACTCCAAGATAGCTGGGCAGGCTGCACAACCACAGGGCCGACCCCAGGTCAGTGTGTGTGTGTGTGTGTGTGTGTCTGTCTGTCTGTCTGTGTCTGTGTCTGTGTCTGTGTCTGTGTCTGGGTTCTCTTGGGCTTTGAGATCCTTTACTTTGCAAACATCAGCCCTGGGGTCAGGGATGGTGCGGAGAGGAGGGGCACGACAGATCCATCTCACATCTGTGGTCCTTAGCTGCTGAGCTCACCTGGTCTCCATAGCAATGCCAGCAGGAAGTGGCAGCTAAGAGGACAGGCTCTGCTGACCGACACCTGCGTGCAAATGTGGCCGCCTGTGAGTCCTTGGGAAGATTGCTTCTCCCACTGTGAGCTTCCATTTCCTCTGTGCTGCCGGGAGGTTAAGATGAAACAAATGCTTCCACTTGGAGCCCTTTGCCTGGTGCCCAGCACGTGGTCAGTGTTGGGGTCGTCACGATGAAGTGCCCACCTTGTAGTTTAGCAGGGCGTTCTCCATTTCATAGGGAACTGTGACCCAGAGATTAGGGGGCTTGCCCAGCCTCGAAGGGATGCCATCTAGCGGGGCAGAAGCGCCCGAGGGCCCTGAGCCCACACGCTGATTCCAAGCCCGCCTGCCAGGCCCACCTGAGAGCAGCACTCCCTTCTTGGAGCTGAAGGTGCAGAAAAGGCGGGAGACAGGTGCAGCAATGCTCGCCCACACACTAGTCCTCGGTGAAGGGGCAGGAGCACGGGAGGAAGGGACCTGGAGAGGGTGCCTGCCTGGGCTTCGGTGAAGACTGGGACTGGGACCCGCAGGCTTCTCAGCCCTGGTGTGGACCATACAGAGGTCTGCACACAAAGTCAAGGTCCTTTGGCATAGCCTCGAAGGCAGGCGGTGCCAAGAGACAGGTGAGACCCCACAGAAGATGAGCAATGGAGAAGGGTAAAGGGTGAGGGTGTGTGTGCAGGGGGAGAGGAGAGGCAGGCACAAGGACTTCGCAGCCTGAGCTGGGGGCTGGAGCTTTGCCCTCCCCCTCCCCAGGGCCTCCCCTCTTCACCCCTGCTCTTCTGCTTTTATCCACCAGGGTCAGCGGCCTCTCCCCCTTCATGGGTGACAATGACAATGAGACCTTAGCCAATGTTACCTCAGCCACCTGGGACTTCGACGACGAGGCGTTTGATGAGATCTCCGACGACGCCAAGGATTTCATCAGCAACTTGCTGAAGAAGGACATGAAGTAATGTGTAGTGATTCCAGCCATGGTGGCTGCCCCCTCCCTGCTCTCCTCCTCCTGTTGGGGCTCCCCCTCCTCCCTCCCTGGTCCCGTGTCCTCGAGGAGGGGCGGGCAGGTGCTGCCAGGCCCGCAGCCTGAGTGTGCGTGGAGGATAGGCAATCTAACCAGGCCCTGCTCTCCGGCACTGGGCTCTGTGTCCATCTCCAGTGTCTCAGAAACCTCACTGGAAATGCGGCACCAACCCCACGGCGCAGGGAGAGGGTGTCCCCTTGTTTTCTGGGGGTGGCTGAAGCCCTGGCCCCTCTGCAAGGGAGCGGGGTGGGGGGTGCCCACTGCACAGCAAGAGCAGTGGCAAGGGCAACCTGAGAGCCTATTTGTGGGTCCTGCTCAGGTGCCCGGGGGGTTCTGGCTCGGTGTGAGAAAGGCCAGCCTGAGTGTGCCCAGGTGCCTGTGTCACTGACAGAGGGAGGCTATAGCCCCAGACCACGAGGCCCAGCCCTCTCCCCACCTCCACACCCCCACCTCCCCCCACCCCCATGAACAGAGAACAGGTGCACAGCGGGAGGCCAGCATGTGCAGGCTGAGGAAGGGGGCTCATGAGCCCTGGGGATTGCAGTGCCAGGGTGGACAGTGGGGTCCCGGAGGAGGTGAGACTGGAGGCGGCCAAGCAGGATTTGTTGGTGAGGTCTGTCCTGGGCAAAAGAATCGGCTAAGGATGAGAGAGGGACTCTGTGTGCACCTTGGGGAAGGAGGCGCGGGGGTGGCAATGAGGTCCTCTGGCCTGCTGGGCACCTCACCCATGCTGTCATTAGGTGACAGGGCAAGGCCGGGCTCTGAGGAGCTTGGAAGTAGGGCCCAGCTGTAGCCTTGCCTGAGAAGGGAGGTGACACAGCTGGCATTCTAGAGATGTGGCAAGGCAGGGCAGCTGCCCTCCAGGGCCAGGCAGGTGGCTCTGTGGCCGGGCTTGTGCCTGTGTGTCTGGCCTGCAGAGCCCTCCGAGGCTGCAGCTGGTGCCCCTCTGGGAGAGGCGCTCTTTAGGACAGGAGAGCCTGCTTGCTAAAGGAGCCACGTTGGAGTCTTGTGGATGGCTCTGTCTGGTTTCCCTGTTCCCCACCACCTCTCAAGGCCCAGCTGCCCTGTGGGCCCCAGTCCCTACTCCTTGACCATGAGGCCTCAGAGCTGTCACAGTCTTTGCATCAGAAGTAGGTGGGACCCAAGGAGAATCTGGATGGGGGTGTAGAGGCTCCCTCTCGCTGTGAGGGCTCCCACATTCCCAAGGTGAAAGCACACTGCTGGTAACTGCTCCAGTGATGGCAACCAAGCCTCCTTTACACTGAGGATCGGGTGAACGAGCTCATGCATGCACTCGTTATTTTCTCATCTGACCTTGACCAGTGATAGTCCGTGATGGGCCTCTCTGTGCTCACAGAATGGAGCCACCGGGGGTAGGTGGTGTGGCACAGTGGGTTAAGGCACCACCTGCGATGCTGGAATCTATCAGAGTGCTGGTTGGAGTCCTGGTTGCTCCACTTCATTCTAGCTCCCTGCTAATGCACCTGGGAAGCAGCAGATAATGACCTAAGTACTTGCGTGTCTGCCCTCTGGGGGACACCAGGATAGAGTTCCATGCTCCTGGATTGGGCCTGGCCCAGCTAGGCTGTTGTAGCCATTTGGGGCGTGAACCAGATGACAGACAATCTTCCTCTTGCTTTTCCTCTCTCTCTCTGCCCCAGCTTTTCCTCTTTCTCTGTTGCTCTGCCTTTCAAATACATAAATCCATTTTTTTTAAATGGAATCACCAAAGAACTGATATTTTTAAAAAATGTACCTAGATCTTTTTAATTTTTTTCGAAGATTTATTTATTCACTTGAAAGTCAGAGTTGGGACCAGCGCTGTGGCATAGCGGATAAAGCCGCCGCCTGTGGTGCCGGCATCCCATATGGGTGCTGGTTCGAGACTGGGCTGCTCCACTTCTGATCCACCTCTCTGCTATGGCCTAGGAAATTAGTAGAAGATGGCCCAATTCCTCAGGTCCCTGCACCCGCATGGGAGACCCAGAAGAAGCTCCTGGCTTCGGATCGGTGCAGCTCTGGCTGTTGTGGCCATCTGGGGAGTAAACCAGTGGATGGAAGACCTCTCTCTCTCTCTCTCTCTCTCTCTCTCTGCCTCTCCTGTCTCTGTGTAACTGTGACTTTCAAGTAAAATAAAATGAATCTTAAAAAAAAAGGCAGAGTTACAGAGAGAGAGGGAGAGGCAGAGAGAGGTCTTCCATCCACTGGTTCACCCCCAAATGGTCACAATGGCCAGGGCTGGGTCAGGCTGAAACCAAGAGCCAGGAGCTCCTTTCAGGTCTCTCACATAGATGCAGGGGCCCAAACATTTGGGCTATCCCCCGCTGCTTTCCAGGTGCATTAACAGGGAGCTGGATTGGAAGTGGAGCAGCCAGGACTTGGACCAGTGCCCATATGGAATGTTGGCATCATAAGCAGCAGTTTTATCTGCTATGCCACAGTCTGGCCACAAAGAACTTATATGAATGAGATAGATTAAGACATTAGATTCCCACTAACTCTCAAACCATAAATCTCCACCTATCGGCACTCTTTTTTTTTTTTTTTTTTTTTTTGACAGGCAGAGTGGATAGTGAGAGAGAGACACAGAGAGAAAGGTCTTCCTTTGCCGTTGGTTCACCCTCCAATGGCCGCCGCGGCTGGTGCACCGCGCTGATCCGATGGCAGGAGCCAGGTACTTATCCTGGTCTCCCATGGGGTGCAGGGCCCAAGCACCTGGGCCATCCTCCACTGCACTCCCTGGCCACAGCAGAGAGCTGGCCTGGAAGAGGGGCAACCGGGACAGAATCCTGCACCCCGACCGGGACTAGAACCCTGTGTGCCGGCGCCGCAAGGTGGAGGATTAGCCTAGTGAGCCGCGGCGCTGGCCCACCTATCAGCACTCTTAAATTTTCTAATCGTAAAATCAATATGTGTAAATTGTAGAAAATTTGAAGACCATAAGAAAATGCAAATCATCCACAATTCTCTTATCTGAAGCTCACTATGCTTCTTTCTTGTCGAGTTTCTCTGTGGATGATTGCACTTGGTATTTGGTTCTTTGGGCTTCATGAGTCCTGTTCCAGTAAAGACAGTGGCCCTGAAATCCTCATAGGTTCCCAGAGCTTCCTGAAAGACTGAATGAGTACCAGGCCTAAGGCTGTCCTGAATCACAGGTTGTATGTAGGGCACACTGTTTTGGGTTGTAACAGGAAAAGCCTGATCCTTGGCTTCACCACAAGACCCGAGGGTTGAGTGACTCTCACAGGTTTTGTCCTCGTGTTTCACTTCCCCTTTTCCAGAAGGGGAGGCCCCAGCCCCCACCCTGGACTGTGGTGCGAGCCATCCTGAGACAGGTGTCCCAGCCGTGGGCCTTAGGTTGCCTGCCTGGTGGGGAGGCCTCTTGGCACTGACCTTTGCTGGGTCTGCCCAGACCCATAGAGGGAAATGGTGGCAGGGACAGTGTCTCTGATCCTGGTGAACCAGTCCAGAGAGGGGTCCTGGGCTCTGCCCTGTGTGACAGGAGACAGGTAGCCCCCACTTGCAGTGTGACCACTGACGTCTCTGGTCCCTTCCTGGTCAGAAAGCCTCTGTTCTCTTCCCATCTCAGAAACCGCCTGGACTGTACCCAGTGCCTCCAGCACCCGTGGCTAATGAAGGATACCAAGAACATGGAGGCCAAGAAGCTCTCCAAGGACCGCATGAAGAAGTACATGGCAAGAAGAAAATGGCAGGTAATGCAGGTGGCACTTGGACAGGGGCGTTGCCCACGTGGCTGCTCTGTTCCAACCACTGTCATCCCTTGCTTGCTTGGCCTCACTCCAAGAATGCTTAAATCTGCTTCTGAATCGTGCTGGGACCGATTCAGGCAGCCGACTCAGGTCCGTTGCTGTGCAGAGTCCTGAGCACCGAGTGCTTGCTCGGGAAATCATCTCTCCGGTCCTGCTCAGCCTTGTCCTCGAGGGTCCGATCAGGGAGGCCACAGAGCCTGTCCCGCACCCACGTTACACCTCTGGTGCCCCATCTCTTCATGGCTAGGGTTGAGCGACTTCACCTTGAGGTCTGCTGGGCGACCCTAAAGAATGCCTATTCCCTGTGGGTGGTACGATAGTCCTACGCTTTTTCACAATGGAGGAGGTGGGTGTATGATCCAAGAAGATGGACGCGGGTCCCAGCTGGTGGGGAAGCTGTGTGTTGTGTTACTGGCTATGCAACAGGTGGCCAAAGGCAGGTGACTCTACCTTGCTCTGGTTTCAATGGCAGTGGTGGTGCCACCTTCCTGTCGTTGTTGTGAGAGTGACATCTTCATGCGGCCTTCAGCTCAATGCCTGGTACACGGCGAGCGTTCCAGAACAATGCCTGTGGCTAATGTGTACTGAGGGCTGGCCGTGCATCAGGGGCCAAAGCACCATTCATGTATTGAGTCTTTTAATCTCTGGAGGCAGGTACTGTTGTTGTCTCTGCTTCACAGACAAACTGAGGCCAAGGAAAGATTGGGAAAGTCACCAGGATCACAGAGGTGATAAGTGGATTCAGGACCCAAACTCAGAGCCTTGCTCCAAAGCAGTCTTTCCAACAACACAAAACTGCCTCTGATAGCAAGACAGGTGAAATTAGCACCCAAAACCACAGTGTACTTACCACTACCGCCATCTGGTTTCCAGTTTTTATTGTCACACTAGTATCCTGAGATTCCTGGGCTTCTGAGAGGGTATAGCTTCTGTCCTCAGGGAACGTATAGTGTAACGGGATGGACACACACACAGACAGCAAAGGGAGCGAGACACACCAGGAATGGAACTACCCATGTGGCTCTCCATCCCCGTATGTGAGTACATGAGTGTGGACTGGAGAGAGGGGCCAGCTGCAGCCAGAGTTGACGTGGCTCTGAGGAAAAGCTCCCAGGAGCAGGGGGTCGAAATGAAGCCAGAGAGGAGGCGACAGCTGCACAGGTGGAGGACAAGGCACAGTGGTGGGGACTGGGCCCACACTGGCTGTGTAGGGCTGGACAGCAGCAGAGCCTTTTAGCTGGGGACTCAGGGGACCTTGGGGGCGTTGAGACTTTGCCTGGGTGGCCAGGAAAAAGGAAATCACTGTTGGGGGTGGGGCACTGGAAATTTTCCAGGTGGGGTGACTAAACCACAGTTCCTTTGGAACCTAAGCCTCACATACAGGTTGGGAGAGGTCGCAAAGGTGACTGAGGGCCAGGGGGTGGGGTTCCAGGGATCACCGCCCAGGCTCACCCCAGCCAGAGCTCCTGTGCAGTGGCAGTGGCTCTTGGTTAGGCAGCCCCCTCCCCTGGTGAATGGTTACAGAGGTCTCCTGGCCTCCCTCAAATGTAAGGTGAGCTGGAACACCTGGGCTGCTGACCCTCTGGTGCCACTGGGAGGGATTAGAGGAGCAAATATTAGGAAAGAGGGAGGGGGGGCTACAAGGCCAAAGGTTGGCTTTGCTAATGACTCTGTGGCCCCAGTGGGTCTCAAAGGAAGGCAGGGAGGCTGGTGTTGGGGTGGGGCAGCTCTCAGAGCAGGGAGCTCACTGAGTGGTGCTCCGGTGGGGCTGTGGGCTAAGGGGCAGCCTTATCGCTGGGGAACATCTGCAGGTGGAGCCATGTCAACCCAGGGGGCAAGTTTGGAGAAGAGATAAGGAAATGGGAAAGGAAGCAAATGGAACCGCTCAGCCATTTGAGCCAGGGGCCTTTGATTTGTGGTGCTGTTAATCAGGTAGATTTTTGTTGCTGTTGCTTGCAGTGTCATTAGTCATGGGATTTCCCGGAGGGGGCAGAAAAGGGTACAATTTAGAGAGGGACCTTAATTCCATATTTTAATTCAGGTGACAGCCTTTGACTTTTCCACAAAATCAGCGGTCAGGTTTCACAAACTCCCACACAAAAGTAGTTCACCAAATCCTGTTCAGCAGGTAACAAGCCTGAAGCATTATGTTCCCAGTAACGCCTCAGCTGTGTCTGACCCTCTGGTGCTATGCTGTTTCCTTAGGGAAGTGTTTTCTGTGTGGTAACCAAACCACCAGGAACTTACCACCACCACCACCACCCCCCGAATAGGGGGTCCTCTCTCTGAGCAGCTGAATTTCTGAACACTGGGACAGGGTGCGGTGGCATGGATAGAGTGGGGTGACCCATGCTGGAAGAAGAAGGGCAGAGCAGACACAGGTGGCCCAGAACATTCTACAGCAGCACACAAGGCTGCCCCATTGTTGTTCTAGTGTGACTTTCATCAAAGGCCCCAGGAGGAAACATAACAAAGGTGGGAATCCCTCCAGGCAGTCCCACCACGGACAGGCTGGGCATGAATGATCAGTTGTATTAGCAACCCTAGAATGAAGTTATCCCCCCCGCCCCCCAAAGGAAAAAAGTCTATTTGACAGTTCTCTGAAAAGAACTTTACAAGGGTGTGTTGGCGAGGAGTCGTCGATGGGGCTGGGTAAGCTGAGCAGGGTAACGGGGCTTCTGTGTGTAAACTGCAAGGAAAAGCCTGCGAATCAGAGGTCAGCGGGCAGAAGCACTGCTCCGGGGGCCAGCAGCTCTCTGGTGGTACAGAGCGAAGGGCAATGGGGTGCAGCACTAGACTCAGTGTCGCGCAGAGCGTTCTCGGCCATCGCGTCAGGATGCAGTGCACTTTCCAGGCAGCAGTGTAGTCTTGGGGCCGGTGATGGTGTGCTGGCTGTTTCTAGAGTGCCCAGCCTGCCTGGGCTTGCCACAGACTGCGGATCAGCACTGAAAGACCCTAACCCTGGGACACCCCAAAGTCCCAGGCATGCCAGGGAGGCTGGGCACCCTCAGGTGGCTCTGCGGTGGGTGGGGAGTCTGCCGAGTACGGAAGGGGCTGGGGCAGACAGCACTTACCAGGAACACAGGACCCCAGTCTTGAGGATCACCCTCAAAGGAGGAAAGGGATCTCTGGATTCAAGGATCGGAGCTGAAACTTTGTCATTTTGCTTTCCAAAAATTCTCCAAAGGTCTTAGTAAAGCACCTGTCAAACGCATGAAGCCAGGAGACCACAACACGCCAACTGCTTTCTTTTCTAGTGCTGACAAATAACTTCCCTAACATTTTTTCCCACAAATCTGTCCCAAAGATTGAATCCTGCTATAGATTATTTTAAAATATTTCCTTATTAAGCACGTATATGTTTTTAGAATTTAGAAATTATACGCTGCATGTCTCCACGTGCAAGGCTTATTTGTTACTACGTTTGCAATAGTAAACCCTTTCGTTTGCCTCATTTGGATAACTTTATTTGGGTAACTTTGTTAAAAAACAAAACCGACAAAAGCCATCAACTCAGTGCACTGCACAGACCAAGATGGTCCTGCGGCTGCTGTGGGGTTAGGGAGCTTTCCCTGCTGCGCTGTCCGCTGTGGGAGAGGCTCCTCTTCAGGTCTGAGGACACGGAACCCCAGAGAGGGGATGTGACCTGCACAGGGTCACGCAACGGTCAGGGGTCCCAGGACGAAGCCGCCCCTTGTAGGGAGTGAACACTCTGGGTTTAAAGACTCCTGACCCAGGGCAGGCCGATCTGGAGAAAGCTGGAGAAAGGGATGGACGAGCAAGCGGGGAAGGGCGGGGTCCAAGAGTCTGGCTGAAGTAGACTGGTCTGGCTCCGACTCCAGCCGCACAGGGAGGGCAGGTGGACTCCAGGGAAGGGCCAGGCTTCTACCCTCAGGTAGCACAGCAAGCACACCTGTCCCAGGAGAGCAGGCATCCGTCCGCAGGGCGTCCTTACGCGGCTGCCCAGAGTTAAGCGGGTCATCGCTCACCGCCTTCAGTGCCGCCTCACCCAGATGCTCCGTGGCTGCAACGTACCCACCCCATACAGTGACGTGCGTGAGGACTGAGGGCTAAAGGCCAGGGCAAGGTGGAGCCTCTGTCCAAGTGAACGCAAGAGCGCAAGGGGGCAGTGAGGGTGTGACTGGGGAGTGACAGGGCGGGGTGGGGGCAGGCTGCCACCATGGGGCCCCCTTAAACCACATGCACGCAACTTTCCATGCGCTTCCTTAGCATCCGGGAGTTCTTTGGAAATGCTTGGTATTTCTGCTGAAGCATACTGGCTTAGAGTGCTTCCCTCAAGTCCCTGGGGTATGGAGCTAACCCACGAGGGCCCAGCTAAAGTGAGCTGAGTGAGCGCAGGCCACGCCCGACCGCTTCCACCAGGCGTGCGTCCGCGGGGACATCTGCTCTCTGGGGCGCAGCCTGTGGTGGCAACACAGAAGTTGCTTAGCGTGCAGGCATGGGACTTGGTTATACCTTAGTGTTCTTACCTCACTGACCACAGAAAAGGGGGGGGAAAGTGAAAGAAGAGACACAGTTGTCCATTATTGGGGATTTCTTGACCTAAGTCCTCTGCTTGGTCGAGTTTTCACAATGCAAAGAAACTGCAGCTCCCCTGAGCCTACTCGGCAGAAACCCTGCCTGTCTTCTGCCACGCCGCCCAGGACAGCCAGCTGCCCTTGCTCTTCACTTCTTCACGCGCTCTTTGGGACGCCTGAGTGTCCCCTCGGGGAGAGCCCCTCTGAAGCTGCACCGTGCGGTCAGGGACTCAGCCCGGAGTAGCCAGCGTCTCCCGGATCAGAGACAGAGAGGACTGGGCCTTGGAGGTCCTCTTGTCCAGCCCCCTCCTTGTGCAGAGAAGGATCCTGAGGCCGGAGGGGGTTAAGTGGACTGCGTGGCCTCGCTGCTGCCCCAGGATCAGTGGGATAAGTAGTAACGATTCTCTTAACCAATGACAACGCTGTCACGGGCATTGTTTTACGAGAAGCAGGCCCGCGGAGCCCGGTCAGCAATAAGTCTTCGGAGCTGTCTCAGCCTGCAGTTGCTTTATATAAACTATCCCTTTTATGGGAGCTGAAGCACAGTATGAAAAGGCTTTTTGTCTCATGTTGACCTTGTTTAGTCACATTAACGCACACATCAGTTCCAGGCCCCATTCCATTCCCCGAACATCTTCCGACCCGCCGAGAGTGCTCACTCCTCGCTCCCGGACCGGCTGCCTCCCCTGGGCCAGGTCCCCAGCACTGCCCAGCTGCAGCCCGGGACACCGCCTGAGCCCAACCCCAGTGTCTCTTTTCCAGAAAACGGGCAATGCTGTGAGAGCCATTGGAAGACTGTCCTCTATGGCAATGATCTCAGGGCTCAGCGGCAGGAAATCCTCCACGGGGTCACCCACCAGCCCACTCACCGCAGAGAGACTGGAAACCGAAGGTGAGGCGCCCCTGGGCACGCAAGGCGAGGGCGGGCAGAGGGGCCTTTGGCCTTTAGGGATTTTTTTTCTTTCCTCTCTCTTTTTTTTTTTTTTATCCACCCTACAAGGATAAACTCAGAAGTCGTTGGTTTCTTTTTTTTTTTTGGTTGCCCCAACAGCAGTGACTAAGTCTAGCGATTGTTGTTTAACCTGAGGCTTGCCTGTTTTCAAAGCAGAAGCCATTCTTTATCAGACAGGAGTAGGTGGCCTGGGTTATTCTGTCCCCTGTACTTTGTGTGGGAAGTAGCAACGGCTACTGCAGAAGTGTTCTTGTCTATCAGTGGGCAAAAGCCACATCCAGCTGTTCGATCAATAGCCGTCCGTGTTCTGTCTTTGTGTTTTTGTTTTAAACCAAAACTAACTCACAGAGTTTGTGTGAAGGCACTTCAAAAAGTTCGTTTAAGGGAATTAAAAGTTAAGCTTATTTTTTTTTCCAAAACAAGTTGGAAATGCATGCGCAGGTTTTTTTCCTGATGCGCAGTTCCCGTGAACTTTCTGAAGACCCCTGGTGTTTTGCTGGCGTTGTTCACGCAGCTGGAACACGTCACTTGCACAGGGCACATGGGGATTGGCAGCACCCCTTCTGGAGCCCCGTCATGTAGATTCCTCGACACCGTCTCTGAGACGCTGCCCGCCACCTCAACCTCTCCCAGCTTCAGATGCATGCAGGGCCTCACCCTTGTTGGCTTGAGGTGCTGCCTTTGGCCAGAGACAGCCTCCAACCCATGCTGTCTGGGGCTTTTAGTACCCACAGGTGAGAAGCTGAGTCTAATCCCTGTAGTGCACAGAGGTAGGGGCACGGGCAAGGCCAGCAGCCAGCTGCTCTGCAGCTCCTTTGTGGCTGGGGACAGAGTCTGCTGCACATGGGCCTGGCCCCTCCTGAGCCACTCCCGCCACTCCCCAGATGACCCAGAAGTGACCTCAGTGGGAGTGAGGGGACCTGGGAGCCCTCCGGGGTTATAGCTTCTCCCTGGACCAGCCCCATGGCCTGGTCCGCAGTCTCACAGAGTAAAGGCAGCGTGAGCATGGAGGACAGAGTCACAGATAAGAGGGCGCCTCTAGGACCTGCTGCTTCCCCGAGGAGCAGGTGGAGGACCTGCTGCAGGGGCGGGCGGAGGGGCAGCCGAGCAGGAAGGCCATGGAGGCTCCGACCTCTCAGACGCCCTCAGCACAGTCCTGAAGCAGCAGGAAATGCAGCCAAGAATGCTTTTTGAAGATGACTTCCTTTTCTAATGTGTCAGCAGAAGGGAAGGCGAGGAGGCTGAACCCTTCCCTGGTTCGGGCAGAGTTCTCTCTTCTGCCAAAACCCATCTGGCGGCAGGCCAGGCCATCCCCAGGAGAAAGGCGTGTGCGATTCAGATCTCTAGGCTGCATTATTTGCTAAATTATAGCAATCTCTTTGTATTAAAAAAAAAAAAAAAAAAAAAAAAAGCTTGTTCAAGCTGGTGGGGAGGAGAGGACAGAGAGGAGGCAGTGACCTGGCCTCCCTCTCTGTCTCTCAGAAGATGTCTCCCAAGCGTTCCTGGAGGCTGTGGCAGAGGAGAAGCCGCACGTGAAACCTTACTTCTCTAAGACCATTCGTGACCTGGAGGTGGTGGAGGGCAGCGCCGCCAGATTTGACTGCAAGATCGAAGGTGAGCCGCGGTGGGGTGGGGCAGGGCTGGGTGCTGGGGTCCCTGCTGTGACTTCCCCCTTCCCCCCAACCCCAGCTGCGGTGTCAGGTCCTGCAGCCCCGATCAGTAGAAACAGCCAGCCCTCAGGGAAACGGAGTCAGAGGGAGCAGGTCCTAGAGAGCCCTCCCTCCTCTCCCAGCTCCTGAAGGCCGGCCGCTAGACCCAGGTTACACGCGGTTTGTCATGGAACATGCTTAGTGGCACATGAATTGCCTGCAAGAGGGTCCCGAAGGAAAGCTGGCACCACAAGTGCAGGACACAGGCTCGGTGGCTCTGCCACTGGTCAGCAGGCTGTGAGACCTCGGACAGGAGCTGTTGGCTTCAGAGGACAGCCAGGGCCAGGAGTGACTCTGGGCCATGGATGTGAAAAGAGGAAACCTTGAAAGACTTTTTAAGATGGCACAGGGCTTGATGTTATGGCATGGTGGGTTAAGCTGCCACCTACAGTGCCAGCATCCCATGTGGGTGCTGGTTCAAGTCCCTGCTGCTGCACTTCTGATTGAGCTCCCTGCTAATGAACCAGGGAAAAGTAGCAGAGAATAGCTCAAGTGCTTGGGCCCCTGCACACACGTGGGAGACCCAGATGAAGTTCCTGGCTCCTGGCTTTGGTCTGGCCCAGCTCCAGCCACTGTGGCCATTTGGAGAGTGAACTAGCCGATGGAAGATATTCTCTCTCTCCCTCCCTCCCTCTGTCTGTCTGTAACTCTGTCTTTCAAATAAAAAATAAATAATTAAAAGATGGCATGGAGTGAGAGAAAAGTTGCAGGATTGCTAAGTGCAGAGGAAGGGCACGTGCTGGGTGACTGGAGACTTCAGAGTCCCACCCAGGCCCCTGGGGCGCACCATGCAGTGTACCATCTCCCCCTGCGGCTTCTCCACCTGCCAGCAATGATGCAAACAGAAGATTGCGGGTGCTCAGGACTCAAGAGACCTTAAAGGATCTGAGCATGCCCCCGTCCCTCCAGATGTGAGCACAGTGGATAACACAGAGCATTGTAGTTTCCAGGGACTGCAACATTCCAGAAAGATAAAGGGCAAGATAAGCCAGGCATTGGCTGTAGGCCTTGGCTTTCATGTGCCAGCCAGAGTCAAGGGTTAGCGCCCATTCTGCTCTGACCAAATAAAGCACTGAGATTATTCAGCAACTTTCCCAAGCATAGCACAGAGGAGCAGTCAGGACAAACCCGCCTCCCGCTTTGGGCAATGCTGCAGCCGTGTGACCAGACAGAGGCCTTCGGGTAAAAGAACCCTATCTAAATGCCTTGTAAAAAGCTTCGCCCTCCGTAATCTCTCAGTGTTTTCATTCAGTTAAGAACAGAAGTGGGTGCGCTGCTGCCGCCGCACTGTTGAACATGGCAGATCTCAGCCCCGGGGGGTTCTGGGGCAATCTGGATGCGCTCACCATCACCACTGTCCCTGGGTCCCCTGCTTTCCTTTGTCCTGTTTTAATTTTTGAAGGTATAACAGGGATTATTATCTGCAGGTGGTTTCCTCTTTGGGATTATTTCCTTGGTGTTTGTATAACTTTTGACTGGGGCTTTGAGGAGAAATTAAAGCACATGGACCCTGTTTAGGTAAAAAAAAAAAAATTCATGGCAGGCTTTTCCCTGGGGGTTCAGCCACCCATTGGGACACCAGTGTCCTATGGCAGAGTGCCTGGGTTTGAGTCCCAGTTCCATTCCCAACTTCAGCTTCCTGCTAATGGCAAACCCTGGGAGGCAGCTGGTGATGGCTCAAGTGGCTGAGTCCCAGCCACGCATGGGGGAGAGCCTGCATTGGGCTCCCAGTTCCTGGCTTCAGCCTGGCCCAGCCCTTTGCAGGCATTTTGGACAGTGAACCCAAACTCCAATCTAGGCACTCTGAAATCGCACACAGACATGTTAAACAGTGTGTGAACAGCTATACCGAAGGCCTATCTCTGCCTGGCTTGGTATTTTAATGAGTCCTGTGTGAGCATCATAAGGAGAAGGGGATGTGATAACCCTTCCAGAATGGGTAACAGGATTGGAATTGGAAACAGGAAACTTTAGAGCACTCTATTTGGGGATTCGGATGCTGGTACCTACAATACATACCCATATTCTAATGTGTATATCAAAACAGATGCTAAAAGTCACATTATAATTTTTTTAAGATTTATTTATTTATTTGAAAGGCAGAGTTACAGAGAGGCAAAGGAAGAGAGAGACAGAGAAGTCTTCTATCTGCTGGTTCACTCCCCAAATGGCCACAATGGCCTGAGCTGAGCCAATCCAAAGCCAAAGGGTTCTTCTAGATCTCCCATGAAAGTAGCAGAGGCCCAAGCACTTGGACCATCTTCTACTGCTTTCTCAGGCCATAGCAGAGAGCTGGGTCAGAGTGGAGCAGCCGGAACTCAAACTGGAACCCACATGGGATGCTGACACTGCAGGTGGTGGTTTTACCTGCTACACCACAGCACCAGCACCAACATTATAATTTTTTGCCTTGACTCCCCTCCTCCCCCATCACAACCAACAGAGGTAGCTTAGGGGTTGCTTGCATTAAAAAAAAAAAAAAAAAAAAAAACACTTGAGGGTTGGTGTTGTGGTGTGGCGGGTTAAGCCACCATTTACAATTCTGCTCCACCTCCAATTCAGCTCCCCGCTAATGTGCCTGGTGAAACAGTGGAGATGGCCCAAGTGCTTGGGCCCCTGCCATCCATGTGGGAGACCTGGGTGGAGTTCCAGGCTCCTGGCTTCAGCCTGGCCCAGCCCAATGTTGTGGCCATTTAGGGAGTGAACCAGCACATGAAAGATGGCTGGCTGGCTGGCTGGCTCTCTCTCTCTCTTATTCTGCCTCTCAAATAAATAAATAACAAATTTTATTTTTTAAAAAAAAAGGAGGATTTGATAAATCTTAAAAAAGAACTCTGTCTCTCCCTCTGTGTCCCTGTAACTTTTTCAAATAAATAAATCTTTAAAAAAAGAATTGAATGACAGTGTTTGCAACCTGTGTTCTCTCCCTGTGATGCAGGATACCCAGACCCCGAGGTCGTCTGGTTCAAAGACGACCAGTCAATCAGGGAGTCTCGCCACTTCCAGATAGACTACGACGAAGACGGGAACTGCTCTTTAATTATCAGCGACGTGTGCGGGGACGACGATGCCAAGTACACCTGCAAGGCTGTCAACAGTCTTGGAGAAGCCACCTGCACGGCAGAGCTCATTGTGGAAACCATGGAGGAAGGAGAAGGAGAAGGGGAAGAGGAGGAAGAGGAGTGAAGCAAAGCCAGGGGGAAGCAGTTTGTAAGTCGTGTTACAAGGACTAACTCTCTAAAGCTCAGAAACTCAAGATAGCAAAAGCACCTAGTGTGGCAGGGTCTCTAGGTAGGTCCCTTGGGGGCTGATGGTTCGCCACAGCAGTTGAAACTCAGCAGCATCGCTGATGGGCATTAATCTGAATTAGCTGGCACCTTAAGATCCTGGTGCAGCAGGATTTCATTTAGGGAAATTTCCAGTAACTTGCCTGGTGAATTCAGTTCAGAGAGAAAGAGCTACTTACCTGGGCCCACCATAAATTCCCCAGCTGAACCCACTCGTGAAAAATAAGGCCACAGTAAGGACTCTGGGCTCTGCAGCCCCAGTTCAGCCCAGAGGGGGCCTGGAGATGGAAGGCCTCTTTCTCTCTCTCTGTCTCTCTCTCTTCCCCCATCCCCGCACCCTCCCCCTGGACTGCAGACAGCTGGGTCTTCTCCAGGAACACCTCGCTTCATTCTGAAAGCAGTTGAGCCATTCTGATTTACGAGGCACACTTCCTTCCAAAGTGTACTGCAGACATCCAAACCTTGCTCCTCCCTCCCCTGGTCTACCTGCAGGCTTTCCTGGATCTGATCTTGTTGTGAATTTAAGCACTAAGACCGTTAATTGCACCTCCTAGATTCTGAAAACAGGCCCCCTGCTCTCGGATGACTCTGGCTTCCTTAGGAAAACTAAGACATCTTTTCTTCCTAAATCAGTAGGAATCTAAAGTTATCCCCCTCTCTGCAAATGTCTAGCAGCTTCAGACATTTGGATAAGAACTCACAGGGGAGAAAAAATCCTTGCTCACGTGCTTTTCTCCTTGAACCGAGATTCGTCCTTGTGCTGTTACAGACTGTCAGCTCTGTGTGTGTAGAAGAGATTTCTGTGTTTGGATGTAGGAAAAGCCAGTTGGCTGAAAAATTAGTCTTCATTATTTATTGGCCACTCTGAAACAGACTTCAACTGACAAAGAGCTATAGGAGGCCACACATTCTGGACTCTTTCAAGATAGTCTGAGTTGAATGCACCTGCATTTCAACACTCTCCGAAAAGCTCAGCCTGCCTATGGGTTCCACTCTCTTTATCTTCTTAAGTGTAGATCAGCTATGCCTTGCCCCCAACCTTGAAATGTATCTTAGACCTCATAAACGCACCGACTCTCGCAGCTTTAGGAATTTTTAACTTTTCACGACATTGGCACTTAAATTTTTTTCTTTATAAATCCTTTTGAAGTTCATGAACAAAGAACATAAATTGTTATGCCTAAACATTTCCTCTGTGTGTGTGTGTGTAACATTCCAAATATTTTGTTTTCTTTTCCACTGTTTGTAAAGTGACACATTTCATATTTCAAAGGACTTTTTCCTAGTTCCTCAAGAACCAATTTGAAATGATTTCAGTGCAATCCTACACAGTATCAACATTAGAATCTTGATATTACTTAGTCTTATGTTATCTTCCATTCTATTTTTATCTGCTTTTTGCTGCTAGTTTCAAGTTGCCAGTATTTTTCCTTTTTTGCTTTTTAAACAGTTATAATATTTTTCATAATAGCCACAGTATTGCCACAGTTTATTATAATAAAGGGTTTTAATTTGACTTAGAGCAAAGATTTTTTTCGTCACTTAATTATGTTTAGCCTATAACCTTCGTGTGCATGTACGTTGCGTGTGTGTGCAGGTGTGACGTATATGCGTGTTTACAAGTTAATGCCTTTTTGAAATTGTGTTCCTGTTCCCTCCGTTTATGATGCCGTCAGAATGGTAGATGAGAACACTACAACCGTAGTCAGCTCACCGTTTTTAAATAAAGGATTACCACAGTGCATGCAGACTTCTCTTTCTTTTCGTGACACCACTTGTAGAACACACAGATACATCTCGGAACTAAAACTTTACGTCGCACTGCACAAGTGGGAAGAATTGACGATTCTGCTTGTGTGTTACCAAGAAGCAGGATGACTTCAGGTGTTTTTATTCATGCAGGTGCCTAATCACACAGAGTTCCAAAGTTGTCCTGAACAGGAGTTTCGTACCACCACATTCTATAGTCTCCGGTCCTTATGTTTTTGTTTTTTTTGGTTTTTTTTGTTTGTTTGTTTGTTTTTAACAGGTGACACAGTCACAATCTTAACTGCTACACTGAATACCTGCCCTGGGTTTCAGTGTTTGTGCATCAAGGCTGGATATCAGCCTTGAGGCAAAAGGGGGGCGGCAGGAGCTAGAGTTGGGGGCAGATCCTCTTAGCAAGGGTGTGAATGGGGAGACACTGATTAGTGTCTCAATATGTTTCTTTTGGCTCTACAAAAGCCTTTAAGAATTTATCTTATTGCTCAGCCCCATGTAAATGTGCGTTGTCCTTAATATTACCAGGGCTTGGTTTGAATTGGTGACACTGATGTAATTTATTCCTGGCTGTCAGTGTTTTCCCTGTGTTAATACCAAAGCGTTTGTATCCGGAAACCGTCACCACTGCTTTACAGAAGTCTGTTACCCGATACCAGACTGGGAGTTCCTCACGTCCTGGGATATCCAAATGAGATTTTAGATATTCTATTTTTTAAAAGATGTATTTATTTATTTGAAAGTTAGAGTTACACAGAGAGTGGAGAGGCAGAGAGAGAGAGAGAGAGAGGTCTTCCATCCGATGGTTCACTCCCCAACTGACTGCAGTGGCCAGAGCTGCACCAATCCGAAGCCAGGAGCCAGGAGCTTCTTCTGGGTCTCCACACGGGTGCAGGGGCCCAAGGACCTGGGCCATCTTCCACTGCCCTCCCAGGACATAGCAGAGAGCCGGATCAGAAGAGGAGCAGCCAGTCTCGAACTGGTGCCCACATGGGACGCCAGTGCTTCTGTCATCAGACAGAGACTTTATAAATTCTAGAAAGAATTCAAGACGTGCTGTTAAATATTAGACTAGATGATTCTGTAGTTCTACAGTGTAATCTGGAAAAAAATGATCCTGCATCCAGTTAATAGTTAGAATTTAGATTTATTTATTTACTTATTTGAAAGTCAGAGTTAGAGAGAGGAGAGACAGAGAGATCTTCCAGCCACTGGTTCACTCCTCAAGTGGCTGCAACCGGCAGGGCCGAGTCAAATCAAAGCCAGTAGCCAGGAGCTCCTTCCAGGTCTCCCATATGAGTGGCAGGGGCCCAAGCACTTGGGCCATCTTCTGCTGCTTTTCCTGGGTGCATTAGCAGGGAGCTGGGTTGAAAGTTGAGCAGCCGGGATTTGAACTGGCACCCATATGGGATGTTGGCGTCCCAGGTGGCAGCTTTACCTGCTATGCCACAATGCCAGCCCCTTTTATCCTATTTTTAAGACTATCACACTCTACAGATGTTCCTAGCGAGGAATGTGTTGTATTGAAATTTCAAGACTTTGTATCCCTTTTTAGTGAAAAACGCACAATATATATTCTGCACTAGGTAAAATAACAAACAGACTCTTCCAATTTATTTTCACCCCCAAACATAAAAAAAAAAAAAAAGCCAACTGATCCTTCTTGACACGTCAGATCTTCATTTAAAGGATGTTTCTCTGTGTAACTAAAAGACTTCTGACTTTGTTTCTGGAAAGACTGTCTTGTTCTTTGTATGAAAATGATTGAGATGGCTTTTTGCATCTCATCGCACCGGCTTTTGATAAATCTGTGCTAAGGAGCATCAGGGAGGTGATGGAGAATTGAATTCCTGAGAAACTCAGTTCTGCACAAAGAGTGCCACTTCCTTTGTCCCCAGCCCCTCCTTCTCTGCATATAAAAGAGAAGCTTATTTGTGTTGGAGTGAGGGGGACTGTCCCCTGGGACACAGGACTTCAGCCCTGGCTCCCTGGTGAGATGGGGCTTGGAGCTCCTGGTGGAAGGTGACAGCCTTGAGCAGAAGTGATGCTTGTCCCCTCTGAGCCAGGGCAGTTTATAAAGTGCTGGTGTCAAACTCTCCATAATGACTGGCAATACATCAGACAGTGGCTGCTCTATGCCCCTGGATCTCAGCCAGCCCCAAATGGACACAGAGCACAAGCAAGGAACAAGCCTTTCTTTTTATAAACCACCAAGGCTTTTGTGTGCTTTGTGGCCGCAACATAACCTAGACTGTCCCGAGGCAAGGTCACCACCATTTTCTAGATCTGTGCTGACCACTATGAGTTAACTCATCCAAGTGGTGACTTAAAGTAAGAAGGACAGTTAAAAATTCAGTCTCTCAGTTGCACGAGACACAAGGTAAGTGCTCAGGAGTCACACGTAACCGGGAGCTACTGCTGGGTAGCACAGATTAGAACTTCCCGTGAAGTTCTAGCCCAGAGCTCTATTCTAGATGGACCAAGAGGAAAAGAGAAGTTCCAAATTTTGCATTAACTATGCATATCCCCTTTCATGTCATTGTGAAATTAAAACTTCAGAGTTGTGTGAAATCAGGCTGGAGAGTAGGGTGCGTAGGTTCATCAGTTGTCCGGGGTAAGAGAGACTCGATACTCAGGTACTCTGAATTCATTATTTATATTCACATGTCAGTTTTCACTGCTTTAATCAACGTAAAATAGCCAGGTCTGTGCTTCTCCCCTTGCAATCTAGACAGATGTGCCATTCACAAGCAACTATCAGATCACTTGTGACATGAGCATCTTTGGCACTTGGAGCTCCTTGAGATAGAGGAGCATCCCATGGGGAACCAAAGACCGATGCTGCAAGGAGCGAGGCAAGCAGCCGCTCCACTTCCGACCCAGCTCCCTGTTAATGTGCCTGGGAAAGACAGCAGAAGATGGCCCAAGTGCTCGGGCCCCTGCTACTCATGTGGGAAACCCAAATGAAGCTCATGGCTCCTGGTTTCAGCCTGGCCCAATGCTGGCTGTTGCAGCCATCTGGGTAGTGAACCAGCAGTTGGAAATCAATTTCTCTCTCTCTCTCTCTCTCTCTCTCTAACGCTGACTTTCAAAATAAATAAATAAATCTTAGAAACAAAAACAAAAGTCTCTAGCCTCAAAGAACTGATTACACTTCAGAAACAAAGCAAATACACGAAAAGGTTATGTACTAACGACAGATGGATTTCAGTTTTACTTATTTCTCCAAAAGGATCTTTGAAAGTGAAAGTGCCTGTTGTGATTGTACAAAAGATACTTGCTGTGAATTTAGGAGTTGGTACAACTGCCCTCTTGTTCTAAGGAACAGCTTTAATTCCCAGGCCCCAAATACTCCCTTCTTCATAGCCAAAGGAATAAAAGCTCATCTGGTTTTATAAATCTAATTTCCGTTAACAGGAAATTCCTCAGTTTGGCTCATTTTTACTTGGATTGTTGTCATTTGACAGGCAGAGCAGAGTGGACAGTGAGAGAGAGAGACAGAGAGAAAGGTCTTCCTTTGCCGTTGGTTCACCCTCCAATGGCCGCCGCGGCCGGCGCGCTGCGGCCGGCACACCGCGCTGATCCGAAGCCAGGAGCCAGGTGCTTCTCCTGGTCTCCCATGGGGTGCAGGGCCCAAGGACTTGGGCCATCCTCCACTGCACTCCCAGGCCATAGCAGAGAGCTGGCCTGGAAGAGGGGCAACCGGGACAGAATCCGGCGCCCCGACCGGGACTAGAACCCAGTGTGCCGGCGTCGCAAGGCGGAGAATTAGTCTAGTGAGCCGCGGCGCCGGCCTCTCTAACTTTTAATGGCTATTTACAAGATATTTCACAGTGATTTGTTTCTGAGTGCATATTAACCACAGAACAAACAGGGCCCTGCTAGGCAGTCCTAGGGAAAGCCTGAGTAGGTAACTTCTTCAAATGGTACTGGAAAATCCAATCAGGGGCTCCTGTGTCCTGGGAAGCAAGATATTAAGGGTTTAAGAAACTGGAAGCTAGGGGCCGGCGCTGCGGCACAGTAGGTTAATCCTCTGCCTGTGGCACCAGCATTCCATAGCGGTGCCAGTTCTAGTCCTGGGCGCTCCTCTTCCAATCTGGCTCTCTGCTATTGTCTGGGAAAGCAGTTAGAAGATGGCCCAAGTCCTTGGGCCCCCGCACCCGTGGGAGACCCAGAGGAAGCTCCTGGCTCCTGGCTCTGGATTGACACAGCTCCAGCCATCATGGCCATCTGGGGAGTGAACCAGCGGATGGAAGACCTCTCTCTCTCTCTAATTCTGACTTTCAAATAAATAAATAAACCTTTTTTAAAAAGTCATAAACCCTTCAAAAATAAAGACAAATTCTCTTATTGAAAATTATAAAAAAAATCAGAATTTTGAAAATTGGAAAGCAACTGACTGAGAGCAGAGAAACCAAAACTAACTTCCTGTATAGGAAGATGTCAATAGGAGCACAAATCATTTCCCCCTGAAGAGTTTCCCCAAAGGCTAGAGACTGGAGGAACAGGTGCCTACGAAGGGAGCCTCAAGGGAACATAAGGCAGAAACTCGCAGAGCACACCAAGGTCTTCAAGGTCAAAGCAGGTCAGAAAGGTGGGAGTGCTGGCCTGAGTCTCTGCTGCTCTGTGCTTCTGATCCAGCTGCCTGCTGGTGCGCCTGGAAGGCAACAGAAGACGGCCCGAGAGCTCGAGTTCCTGCCACCCGTGTGAGACCCGGCTGGAGTTCTGGGCTCCTGGTTTCAGCCTGGCCCACCCCTGGCTGTTGCAGGTACTCTTCTGTCTTTTCAAATAAAGAAATGAATGTTGAACTTGAGTTATCCAGCTGAACAAGGCAGATCAGTAGTCCAACTAAGAGATCAAAAACAGAGGAACAGACTGCTGAATTAGAACACACAGGATCCACAATCCAGTCAGTGTGCACACATTCATAGTGCCCATGTCACAGTGTAGAAGAGCGCCTGACCCTGGACAGGCATTTGCT